AGCCCAACAGAATTCATGTGTTGGTAATGTTTTTCCTGGACAAAATTATTAGACTTTTGCACTGTATGTCAGAAAAAAAAGAAGTTCTATCACTTGAGATGTATTAATGCAGGCCGGGTTTGTAGAAATTGTGCCTGCTTTAATATCACCTAATATATTAATATCTTTATGGGTCTTTGGGTATGCACTTGTCCCTGCTATCTAACCTATATTAGTGGGCCTCATAATGAGTCTGATCTTCACTAGGCATCCCACTAGCTTTGTGTCAGCCTATAATATATTTAGTAAATAAATAAAAACCAAAATATGTTAAATGAAGTAATAGTGTGACAGTCTTGTAAGTCATAGACAGTAAGCGAGCTATATCCTCTTTGGGAATTTTAAAATTAGAGTCCCAGGTTCCAAATTGCTGAGTTCAGCAAAAACTTATGAGAGTAAAATTGTTGGGAGCATTCTGAAAGATTTGATTTAATTTATTTTTTCTTGTAAAAACATTTTTGCATAAAAAATACACACACTTTTAGCATGAGTTACTTCCCTTGATCTGTTCAGACAATTTTTTTTTTTTTAGACTGAAAGCCATATTTTTATTTTATTTTATTTTTTAAGCATTTCACCCCAAGCAAGGCGAGAGTGCCACTAGCACACAAAGGGTTACAGAGAGTGAAAGTAAGAGTAAAGAGGGGTGTTTGAGGAGAGGATAAAGAGAAGGACGGTGATCATCAAGGCATCAGATGTCAATTGACATTACATTTAAATTTTTGAAAATTATAGTTATCGGGGAAGCAAGTAAGAGGAAGGGAGTTCTATTGTCAGGAAGTGCAAGGGAAGAAGCTGTTGAAGTAGAAGAAGCGGTTACATTTGACTGTTTCAACAGTAAAAGGGTGGGACCGAAACGCCAACCTAGTAGCACACTTAAATTCATGCAGTTGGAACACCAGTGAAAATAGCTTGTTAGAGCAGTTGCCATTTATAATGAAGACAAAAAGAACAATAATATAGCAAGACTAATAGCTACTCCTTCATGTGTTAACATCAGAATATCTTAAACTAATTAGTTTAAGTGGAACACCTATTTATAATGTAGCAGCCACCTAACTCAATAATGAGGAGATTGAGGCTCTATAAATAAGGCCTTGTGTCAGATGTAGTTTTGTCTAGTAGATCAAAATTAAACAGTGGACAGCAAAACTGCAAACTTCCAAGTTCAGAACAAAACTTTTGATTAAATTGTGATTGTCATAAAAAGAAACATTCAATGCCCATAAAATTTTCTTTTCTGTTGCTGTGACAATAATAGCAATCAGAGTGATATTCAAATCAACTCCATTATATAAGGCAGCAAAATATGTTTGTAAAATGAAGATGGAGTCCAGTCCTTTTTGTCAGTAGCAGGCAAGTACAAAGAAGAAACAAAATCATTTCCACAATCAAAGAAATAATAGTTACCACCCCCAAAGTGGAAAAAATTCTACGCAATGCATTTCATCCTCTAGAAAAGTCATTCCCAAACCTTTTTACCATGGACCGGATTTTTGGAATTAAAATTTGCTTGTGCCTCACCACATGTGATACATTTAAAAAAAAAAACAAAAAAAAAACAAACAGAAAGCGGGTTAAAGGGAGATAACCATAGATTAAAAGTCAGAACATTATCATTGATAGCACTCTCCTCCAATTTGCAGACCCTAATATTATTAATACTTGATATAATGCAAAAATATCAAAAGGATAAAATCAGTCAATAATTATTTATAACTTTTTATACTGGGACTCATGCATGCAATTACAAGTAATCTATAATAATATTTTAAATTTTGAAATCATATTTATTTTTGGCATATGAATTTTTTGAAACTGTTTCTAAATCTTTGATTGTCTTTCAATCATTCTACCTCACCTACTATCCTCTCCCGTTGCACCTATGAGGCTTGCTGCCCCATTTGAAAACCAATGCTCTAGAAGGACTTCATCAAGAATTGATTAATTTTTATTTATTAAGATTTTACAGATTTTATTACTTAAATGTTATTTTTAGTGGATACCCATATTTGTGTAGACACTATTTATTTATTAAACAGTATATTTATTTTGTCTACTGGCTTGATTGTCCGAGAAATTTTATTAAAGAAAAAGAGTGCATATTTATCTTTAATAAGATTTCTCAAGCATTCATGCTGGTAGACAAAAATAAATATACTGTTTAATAAATAAACAGAGCATCTACTCAAATATAGCTTTCCACTTCAAATAACATCCAAGTAATAAAACATATATATATATGGTACATACTCCTACAATTTATCCAAGACTAATGTATGTTTATATAAATTTTTACTAAGCTTAGCCTTGCCTAGTATGTTGATAATATTGGGCCACCTAGTAAGGACTGAGTTCCTTAACAAAAGATTTTGAGATTAGTTTGTTAATCATTACCATATGATAGGCATTCATGTATATCTTTACCTGTAAAATATTACTGTGTGTCAGTTGAAAAATTCTCAGTCAACCTACATTTCAAATGACGAAACATAAGGCAAGACAAAAATCTTAAAAAGAATTTTGAGAAAAGGTTTTAAAGAAAAAATGGGAGAAATTAAGATGTTTTTAATTTAAATTCTGTAACAGAGAAAGTAAAGACTGATAACAGGAACTGTTAAAAGAGAAAAGTAAAAAGCAACCCAAACAGGAGAAAAAGGATTCTCAAAATCTTTTAAGCAATGCTTAAAATACAAATCTTTATGAAGATATGTTAATATAAATATAAAAATATTTAGCTTTTTACTCAGTCTTCCTTATAATCACTGAATTGGCTTTCATAAACAATTCATCAGATTTTAAAAAGATATATTCACTATTTTTCATGAACAAAATGACATCTTTCCAGATTAAAAGATCAATGTTTGTCAAAAATTGTCAAGATAAAAAAACATTAGACATCTAAAAGAAAATAATTAACATTGGGAATTATAAATTGCTCATTTTCTAAATTAAAATTAATCTTTAAAAATATATATTGATTAATATAACTTCTATACACATTTTCAGTGCACCCTCATAGCTTAATTGTTGCAGTGTTTATAAGCAGAATTTATTAGTGAAAACTGATGAATGGAATCTGAAAACTAGTGCATCATTCATGAAAGTTGTTTCTTTTAATCATTTCACCCCAAGGAAGGTGATAAACCCACTAAAACACAATGGGTTACTGAGAGTGAAAGGAACTGAGAAAATGTTATTGAGGTGAGAGGACAAATAAAAACTATCAAGTAGAAAATCAACATTTATAAGAAGCTTAATTTGAAAATTTTATTTTAAAAATTAGCATTTTTTTTTAATTCTGAAAAGTTTAAAAACTAATGAGTGATTTCTTTTGGAAACATGAGAAAATTAAAACAAAATTTTAGCTTTTGTAAACTGAAAAGGCCTTCATGGAAAAGTAAAATATGTACCATTTCAAAAAGTAATTATATTTGCACCATCAACATCCCCACCCTTAAAAAAAAAAAAACACTCCTTTGTACAATATAACACATGCACTCAAATCACTTCATTGTTTGCTCTTATGGCTTTCATGATTGTCAGAGAACTGAAGAGAGAATTGATCCATTGGATTTCATATGTTATAGCTTTAAGCTCATGACAGGGAAAACAATGTTTGTAGCGGCATAATCACAGCATTTTTAAAAATAATATTGCCAGGCCAAGAGTAGGGAAAGTATTAAAATAGTCGGCAGGACAAGTGGGCGGTTGGAATAGGGCAGGTGAGAAGCCATGGCAGTGCAGAATAGTTTTTCTTATGTATGAAAGAATGTGATATGATAATCAGTTGAAATGACAAGCATCAAAAGTACAATTTAATAATATATAGACAGGTCAACCATAGCGGTACTGACTGACCAGTGTTTCAATCAGGGCTACTCACAAAGAGGATATCTTTACCTTAAAATGGAATCAATTTTTGAGATCTTATCAAGTAATGAAAAGTTTTGAAAATCTAATTTAATCATTTATGTTGGGCAGGGGAATGAAATTAGCCTGAATTATCATAAATGAAAAATTAATTCATTACTGCTAATAAAGAAGAAAATAAGATTTATAATGAAATCTTAAGACGACTCTCCAGTCCTGAACAGTGATTTTTGTGTAGTGGTGCAATTTCTTAGGCTTGATTACAGATATTCTCCAACAATTATATTTTTAATTAGCATTTAATTAGTATTCTTAATCAAGGGCAGTGATTCTCAGCCTTTTTTTTACTCCAGGGTATGCTTATAGAATAACTAAAACTCTGAGTGCCCTTTAAATTTTAATAAGAAAAAATCAGTCAATTTGAAATTTGAAAATATGAAACTTTCTAAAGATTAGTGGTACAGTTTTCATTTAAAGGGATTTTTGAAGCATCTGCTATTTTTTTAGAGCTGATAATGACTTATTTAAATCCCTTGAGGTAGGCAAAAAGGAAAGGATTATCCACTCCTTAAAGATTAAGGATCTTAGCATTCAGTTTAAAATATCAAATAACTTGATTTAGATATGGAAAGGAAAAGGATTAGCCACTCTTTCTTAAAGATTAATGAATTAATTTAGCATTCAGTTTAAAGTATCAAATGGCTTGATTTAGACATAGAAAAGAAAAAGATTATCCATTCCTTCTTAAAGATTAAGGAATTTAGCATCCAGTTTAAAATATCAAATGACAAAGACTTGACTTAAACATGGAAGCCATGTGATTGATATCTATAGCTTTTTAAAAATAAAGATTTTTTTTAAATATAAAAATAATTCATAAATTACTCTTCTGTTAACTTGGGGTGCACCTGGCTACCTTCCAGGGTGCATTAGTGTGCCTGGGGGTACTGGTTGAGAAACACTGCTCTAGAGAAAAACAAAAACTTTAATTGATGCAAAAGCATTATCATTGTGTCAGTTGAGATTTGTTTGTATATACTTTGAGATATAAGTCAGCTCAATTGATTATCTTATTAGGAGTTTGAGGATCAAAACACAGGAATTCGATCCCGCCGGATCAACTGGAGATCATCATCTAAAGTCAGCAGGATCTAGAAACAAAGAAAAGAAAAATATTAATATAAAAACAAAAAAAAATACATTGCAAATAATACTCTTTATATAAAATCTATTGATTGATTTATTTTTTACAGCTTATCAACCTTTTACATCTGCCTTTATTTCTGAGATGGGGTATTGTAACTATTTACACTATTTACATTGTTTGGACTGTTGTCCTCATCTTTATTGTCATATTCATGACATTTCAGCCATTGTAAGCTCTAGCCTTATTCAGGTGATGTACATTGGAATTTCAAACTGAACTTTTTATTTAGTCCATCGGGGTAAATTATTCTAATTCCACTTGCCATGCCTTTTTTTTTTGGATATCTCAGTTTCAGTTAATTCCCTTTAGTAATACAACTCTCCAAGTTTTTGTTCCCTCTGCTGTGGCCAGGTATTGAAATCACAACTCTTTGTGTCAAGTTAACTTTGGATTACTTCAATGTTTTTATCCATTGGGCTAAGTGTCCAGTGGACTAAATAAAGTATATTACCTAAAGAAGGCCATATGAATGAATTACAAAACAATACATCAAATGCATTGGTTGCCTACTCTAACGAGACTGATAACAATTTTGACATAAAAATGCTACTTTGATCAAAGGAGAAAACAATTCACTATGATGAAAATTTTTTGAGAGTGCATTGATTTCAAGGTCATCCAGAATAAATTTGTGGCCTGGATCTTAAAACATTTCACTAGTCGTGGCAGAACTTCTATTAACATTGTCTGGAATATCTACTAACAAAAGTAATGAAAACAAAAAGAATTTAAATGAAATTGACTGGATTAAAAAAAAAAAAAGAAAAAAATTTAAATTTAAACTTTAAAATCCCCAGCATCCCTCATTTTTGTGCATGTGTATTCACACCAACATAATAAATTTAGTCCGATGAAGTCCTAAAGGATGAAACACATCACAGGGAAAATTTTTCCACTTTGTCATACACTTTTCTCCATATATATATATATATATATATATATATATATATATATATATATATATATATTAAATATAACAGACAATGAATGTCTATTATGTCTGATAATGATCTGTTCTAATTTTCGAATGTTTGCTTTAATTTCTGGTGAAAATAAAGACAAAAATTGTCCAACATTTGTATATTTTTTACTAAGTTTACCCTAAGTTTTTGGCTCACATGAGCCATCCTCAGAGTGGCTATACAGACATGAAACAAAGATATCCACCATCAAAGATGATATTTTGTTATTTTGACATAGAAAATTGCTATGCAATGATAACGCTCACGGAATACCAAATGCAGATTGTAAGTTCAAGATGCAGTTCTGTGATGTCATACCATGTGATAGACCAAAGTATTACAACAGAACCAATGTCTAGATGCAATGTAATGTTTTGTGATTATTTTGAAATGTAATTTTGGAGGCCATCTACATTAAAACAAAGCAACTCACACTCAACAAAATTACATTTGATAATGATCTGCTGCTCCAATACACTATATATATATATATATATATATATACACACACACACACACACACGTGTGTGTGTGTGTGTGTGTGAAGACAAAACAATAGAAAATGAAAGAAATCAGTTGACTTACCATGAAAGAGAAAAACATACTTGATGCTGATAAGAAATGCCAGATATCATGAGCATCATAAAAATCCAACAAAATACACTTATGATTTTTGTCCCGAGATTCAGCAGGTAACAACTAGAAAGAAAAAAAAAAGAAAATGAACATCAAATTTAAGTGAAAAAAAATCTTTGAATTAAATTAGTGTTCTTATTACTAAATTATCAACAAATAAGTTCATATATGCTTCGAATTAGATATCTTCCTGATTCACTCTACATGTTGGCTGGATGTGAATGCTAAGAAAGTAAAATCCAAAAATAAAAGAAGTTGTCTTTTGCTTAGAGCATCTGAGCATCACAATACGCTCACAAAACAAATCCCCTAAAAAAAAAAAAACAAATAAAATACAGTCTAAAAGGAGCCAATCATGAACACAAAACAAATCCCCTAAAAAACAAAAAAAAAAAAAATACAGTCTAAAAGGAGCCAATCATAAACACTGCCATCAAAGAAAAAGGATGAAAAAAAGAGGAGTTCCTGATCCACCACATTTGGTTTTAAGAATGCTACTCATAATAACTGAAACAGAATCATGGCGAACAGGTAAATTGAGTTCTCTACATCACCACCGGTGACCTCAATCAACCAACCCAACAGACACATCAACACCAGGCCCTAAAAACACTGTGGATGAGATGTGTAGAGTGGAATCTACACTTAATAAATAATATTCTGACTCTTACTTCTTCAAGAATATTATTTTCTCTATGAAATGGCAAACATCTGAAGGCAAGAAAGTGAATTACTGAAACCAACACTTTATGCCAATATTCCTGCTCTGAGCAATGTTGCTCAAGTAATAAAGAATCTACATGGTATTGGATATAATACTGAAATTTCTTATTCTTTTCCAAGTGGTAGGGAAAGCAACACGGATCTTGTAGGTTTTGAACCAAGCTAAATAACAGTAATTCTTTTGATTTGTGGTATTTTTTTATTTTGATGTTTTGAGCAATATCAGGTTTAATTTCAAAGTTTTCAAAGACATACACCAGTGTATAATTTTAATTTTAGATGGATTAAGAGAGTGAAGCAATTATTATCCCAAGTAATTTTGGTTGATTCATTAGCTATTTTCAAGTGGTTCATTGTTAGTATATTTTCCTGTGTTTATGTTCTAAGTTTTATTGTGTAAAAGTAGTATTAACTCTAAACAGTGCTGTGTTGAGATGGCCTTTAAAAGACAGCCAATACCATTTTTCCTTTTTCAAATAGAGTAAGGTTGAGTTTTGGTTTTATTTGTTTTATATAAAATGCTTCAGTTATCTTCAGATGTCTTTTAAAATTAGATGTTTTTAGATTGGAAAAAAATATGGTAGGCAATGCTTAGGGTCCTGAATACACTAGTTCTGAGTATTAAATCAGTCCCTTCATAAATATCAAAAACTTGTCAAAGACTTCAATAAGTATTGCTAGACTGGTTCTTAAAAATCTGAAAGTATTATAAATAGATGATCTTGTACTTACCTGCCATGAGGTGAGATGATTCAGGAAGAAGTACAGAGCAAATCCCCATAAAACACAAGTCATAATAATATAGAACCATGTCCATTTTTTTATTGACTCTTTGCTTCGAAGCTGAAACAAAGACGAGAATTAAATCTGGAGAATTATATAAATAAATAAAAAAAAACTCAATTCTCACCAGGCATCTTGACCTCAGTCACTTTCTCATTGATGTGACGTGGCTTCCCTGTGTCTTTTCTACAAATATTTTCATGGCAATTGTTCTGATGAGCTGTTCTCTTTAGTGCCTTAACTACATGAATTTAAGCATGCTACTAAATTGGCAACTAGGTCTGACTATTTTATTGTTGAACTAGCTAGATGCAACTGTGAATTCTATTCTAATAGCTTCTTTTCTTGCAATTCTTGTTTGTGGAACTCCCTATCAGTTTCTTGATTCTTTGTCATCTACAATCTTCAAAAAAATAAATACAATGTCAATTTTTATCATCTGTCTTCCTGAATCCAGTTCCTTTATTCACCTTTTCCTCACTTCTCCTCACTAATGTCTTATTCTCTTTCACTCCTTGTAATCGTCTGCATCCTAGTAGCATTATTTCCTTTCTTGGGGTGAAATTATTAAAAAAAAAAAAAAGTTTTTAAAATAAAGAAATGTAAAGAAAAAAGAAAAAACAATGACTGGAATCCCAGAAAAAAAAATTTGGGGATAATATTTACATTTATTTTCTAATAATATGTTTGGTACATAAATTAAAGTGTTTCTATTCAATGAGAAAAATTCTTATTGACTCACTTAACCAAAGTATGTTTACAAGAAAATGTATCTCTCTCTCATACATAAATATAAGTTTCCTTTATATATATATATATATATATATATATTAGATAAACCTAGTGAGCCAGACAAACCTACCGAGGTTTCACCTATGCGGATCATCAGGCCAGCTTTTCCTGACGATCCGCTTAGGTGAAACTTGGGTAGGTTTGTCTGGCTCACTAAGTTTATCTAGGTCTGCTCTATGGTTGTATTGACCTCTTTTTAGTTAGTTAGTTGTTTGTGTCGGGGTTTTTTCTTTGGGCTTTAAACCTGTATCTGTGCGATTTTTTTCGACAGACTTTCATGTTTCTAGCTCTTTCTTTTTTTTAAAACCTTTTTTTCCTTCGAGATTGATTTGATTATTGGCAAATCAAAAATTTGAAGGTTTTTTGAAACGAGTATAGTTACCTATATTTATTTATATATATATATATATATATATATATATATAACAACCGTAGAGCAGACCTAGATAAACCTAGTGAGCCAGACAAACCTACCCAAGTATAGGATTGGTGTAGACAGAATAAAATTCCAATAGCCAAAAACACTATTCTTAAAATAGTGCTCAATACAGAATAGAGAAAATATTATTTATTCAAAAATTATAACAAACATGTTATAACATCACTATAAAAATAGCCATTTTGTTTCAATACTTCTGGTGTCTTCTCAAGTGATGTGTGTTGAATGTAGAATAAAGAATTTTAAAAGGTTCAAATCAACCAAACACCCCTCAATTTGGCAATAATTATTATTATAAAAGGCACAAACACTCAAAATTTGAGTGTTTGTGCCTTTTATAATTATAATTATTGCTCTGTCTGACAGAGCTCTCCCTGGATTTATTTCCTTTTGGAAGTATTCATATTGATCACTAATGTTGTTATTATATTGCTCCTTATGATAATAAGTTGAGCTCTTATTGGTATACATCAAGCCAAATTACTTCAATTTCAACCTATTCACATGGAGATGGAAAAATTTACTCCAGAATACTCCTTGAAATGAAATTTTAAGTGTTTGTGCCTTTTATAATAATAACTGTATGTATATATATATATATATATATATATATGCATAAACAAATATACATGCATACATACACAACATATCTCTAGTATATGTAGTAGTTACATGTCAAAGTAGTAATAATAGATATTGTAGTTATGTGTAGTAGTAATAGATTAAGTAATTTGTAGTAGTAGTAATAGTAAATGCAGTAATTACATGTAGGTGTAGTAATAGTAGATGTCATAGCTGCAGTCCTACACAAGTTCACACATGTATGACCTTGTGTAGTAGTAGTAATAATAATAATATATGTAGTAGCAATATGTAGTAGCAATATGTAGTAGTAATAGTAAATGTAGTTGTGTCAGAGTAGTAATAGTTAATGTAGTAGTAGTAATATATGTAGTTATGTATAGTAGTAGTAGAAATAGCAGATGTAGTTATGTCTAATAGTAGTAATAGTAGATGTAGTAGTAGTAATAGATATAGCAATGTGTAGTAATAGTAAATTTAGTAGTTATATATAGTAGTAGTAGTAATAGTAGATGTTGTAGTCATATCTAAGAGTAGTAATATTAGATGATGTATTTATATGTAGCAGTAGCAATAGTAGATGTAATAATCTTCAGCTGTTCAATTTCTTTGATGAAGCATTATCATTATTATTATTCATTTTTACCTACATTTTCTTCCATATTATTTTCATTGCTTAAGTCGCATCTTGTAGAATTAGATATAAGAGTCTTAAGTGGTTCAAATTTCTTACATGAAACATTGTCCTTATGACTTTTTGGCTATTTTTTCTTTCACGTTATTTTTTTTTTAAATGAGAATCTTATGTTGGTTTTAAATTCTTTGACAACTAAGTTGGCTGCTTACTTAAACATTCATAGATAAAAAATAGAAGAATCTGAGTGCTATGATAAAACAATAAAAATAAGATGACTGTGTTCTTGCAAGCACTTTTGTGATAGAAACAGGGAGAATCTTCAAAACAGGTTTGCACCAAGGAAAAAAAAAGTAACTCACTCAAACACCATAAAATGTGGAAAGCATAGTCCACTGTAGATTATAGCTAATTGCAATCTTTTCTCAACAGATGCTGACTTCACACTGCTTACCTCTTTAAATGCTGAACTTATGAATATTCACCAGCTGATAGCATTATAAGGATTGCACTCTCTCATGCACTTTTTACATTAATAATAATAATAAACTGTCTTTATTTAATATCATTGTACTGGCAAATCATCAGTTACCTCCTCTTAAGAGCTAGGAGGTATAAAAAGCACCCTGTATTACCCGTCAGTAGATGGGTAGTCAGAGTAAAGTGCAATAAAGCTTTGGTATAAGTTTATTCACCAGTTCTGTTTTTACTACAATCAGATTAAAAAAAAAATACACAGCCTTTAAACGGTAGTTGGGACTAGTCGAAAGGTACTCTTCCACTCAACTCCCCAATATATCTTTTTTTCATAAGAATAAGAGGAAGTAAAAAAAGAAGAAACAAAAATAACCCAGAAATGTAAAACACATCAACAACAAATCAATAAAACAACAATGGTACTTGTGATCATCCCCTTAAAAAAAAAAAAAAAAAAATTCAAATACATATACATACACAGGGTGTTGGTAGAAGCCAATAAGGAATTGATACCAACCAGACAAGAAAATACATTGTAAATGGCCATCTACAAGCAGAGCATACAAAGCATTGTGCTTATTTAGCTTTAGATAATTTATGACAGAGATAAAAACTAATCAAAAATGAATAATAAAGGCAAACATTAATTACAAATGATTTCAAGATGGTCTATAGTGCTTTCTAATTGCACATTTCCTATAATAAAAACATAAAAATACTTACTTTCATAATCAAATAAAAAAAGAGATAAAACAGCAGATTCCCAATGAAAATTGCCAACAAGTAACTGGCAAAGTCACTTGGTTTTTTCACTGCTCCATATACAGCACTGAAAAAGAAAATGTTCAAATTGCAATTATCAGGATGAATCATTATCTACTATGCAATTTTTAGTTGATTTTCAAGCACTTATTAGATTAAACTTGCAACTTATCATACAAAAGGATAATATATCTGATTTATATTTCTATACTATTCTTATAGTTTGCTTGAGAAATATTATTAGTATAAATTATTTATTAATGATATCGATAGATTCTACAGTATGGATGGAAACCAAGCAGGAGCTGTTTTTTTGATGCAGTTTTTGTTATCAAGGTGATACCAGTTCTTGAATACAAAACTAGAAATTTTAAATCCAAGACATAAAAAATATAGCATATAAAATTGGTTTAATCCAATTTTGGCACAAGACTTTTGCTGTTCAAGAGAGAATGAAAAGTTCAGAAGATCTTATCAATGGCTTGTAACTTGCATTTTGAAAGGATTTGATAACAAAGGTTAATTATTGAAGTTGAATTATTTTTTATTAAAAGTTAGCCCCAGGAAACAGAACTTTTAAATTTCCAAAGTACAAACTCATTTATATAAAACATATTTATGTTATGGCAATCTATTACCATATGAAGATGAATTACACTTGCCAAGGATAAACTTCATAATTTTTAAATTTTGTAGCAATATTGTTAGTAATTTTTTAATTAATCAAATTAAAGAACTAAAAAAAAATATTAATGTAAGATGTTTTAATTTAACTCTGATGGTTATTTGTAAAATTTGGTAGCATTAAATTGTTTTCAAGAGCTATATATTTTTAAAAATCTGTAACTTCCCAGAAGTCTTTTTTGGTATGTGATAATAAGTACTAAAGAAAATGTGCACCCTTAACACAGAAACATATATGAGGACATACTTACAAGGACCAGTTTAGAATATTACCAATAATCAGCAGAATTAACCGATCCTACAAAATAAAAAAATAACAGTAAATGTTTGCTTTATAAATAACTAGTCAAAATCAAACAGATGATTCAATCTAGCTAGTTTCATTGATTAATTTGTTTTTTATGAATTATCAACCTATTTCAGGTTATTGAAAGCCAGAAAATATTTTAGATTGTAAGAATTTTTTGGAAATAATAATGATTTTACTGATACAAGTGCTACTAATTAACCCATAGCATGGGGGGTAAAGAAGTAGATTCATACATTTTCCAAGAGTATTTGCATGTAAGTGAATATAATGAACCCAACTAAAATTGGAAATTAGTTCTCTGATTTCCAACTCTGAGCCATTATCCATTAGACCACTTGGTATTCCCAAGCAGTCACCCGTCTAAGTACTGACTAGGCTCAATGTTGCTTAACTGCAGTGATCGCATGAGAACAGGTCTTTCAACATGACATTATTTATACCTTGACTGACAAATACCAGAATGCTGGTGGGCACAACATTAGAAATATTGTCATAATAGAAAGAAAATGAGGATATTAGTCTAACCAAAAATAGTAAAAAAAAAAAAATCAAGCACTGTTAGAAATGAAAAAGAAAAAAAAAAAAGAAGTCTGTTAAACTGACAGACATCCAACAATTCCTAAAAACAGAAATAGTATCTTTCAAATCAAGTTCAAATAATATGTCTACCATTCATTCATGCTTAGAATATAGCCGCCACATATAGTCTGGTGCCCCTGCTATTTGCCTTGACATCCTTGATAAGATCCAAAGAATCAGCAATATTATTGGTCCTGATCTGGCAGCTCAGCTTAAGTCACTTTCCCACTAGTGTAAAGTTGTCTTTCTGTATCTTTTCTATTAATACTTTCATGGTAATTCTTTGGATGAGCTCTTTGATATAATACCTAGACTTTTTGAATTTAAGCGTAATACTAGACTGGCAGCGAGACCTCATCAATTTACAGTTGAGCTGGCTAGATGTAGCTGTAAATTCTATGCTAACAGTTTCTTTTCTCACACTTCTTGCTTATGGAACTCCCTTCCAGCTCTAATGTCCTCCTGATTACTCTTTCCTCTTCCTGCTTATTATTAATGTTTCTGTTTTTAATTCTTTTACACTCTGTAACCCCTTGTGGCTTTGCTGCTTTGTATGGGGTGATACCAACTAAAAAAATAAAAATAAAATATAAGAACTCAATTCTAAGAAATCTCATGTAATATTTAAATTTTGAAGCTTGTTCAATAAAAACAAAAATGATTGGTAAGTATTTTATGATTTAGCTTACAATTTACTCAAGATCTGACACATGTACCAACATCATTATTTGAAGCAGTTTGTCATTATTAATGTCAGAAATGTCAATATCTGATTCATCTTGCATTTCTAGTTTTTTTATTTTTATTCTCAGATAACCTGGACTATATATCCCTCAAATGTGCAATATGAATCACTAGACACCATTTCATAATGATGCTTGATTCCTCACAAAAAGATGGAGAAAAAGATTGTAAAAATTGTATTTTTTTGCTAATTGAACAAAGTAGAAGTAGCATGTAGTCAAAGTATTATTGTTTGCATAACTTCCTACATTATTTGCAATGATATCGTCATATATCATGGCAGAGTATACATGGGGTGGGTTATGGCAGGCTGAACACTGAGACCTGATATTTACTGGCTGGGTTTGGCCATGTTGTATGCTAAAGGATTAATGTCCTTGCAAAAGGCATGAATCCACTTCTCCTGGCATTCTGACCGATTGATAGATATCTTGACAAAAATGTAAAAAATGGTTTCATCACTGGCAGGGTACAATGGTTGACAAAATAAAGAGTGGATGAGTGAGCACTTAGCAAAACCACTGTCCCATACATTATCTGTCCAGGTAGTAGAACCAAAAAATGTTGATACCTAAAGAACTAACCTTGACAGGGGTTTAATCAATTTCAAAATTGTTTATTTCTAATAATAGTGTAAAAATACAAGAATATATTTTCACATTTTAAGATAGCATTGTCTTTCAAACATACCTTGTACATGGGTCTTGCACACTGTAAAAAATCACTACACAACATTAACCGCATCCTGTTAAAAAGACCAAGATCTGGAAAAAAATAAAGAAACACAAAGGAAAACAATTACAAGAAATGAATTAAATAAAGTTTTACTAAGCAGAGTATAGCAGTCATTTTACATTTTTTAGCAGACATGCATGCACTGAAAACCCTATCAGCAGAAGCAATCCCTTTTCAGCTTTTGGGCATGCATAAAAAAACTGGGAGCATGTGTTGAATGGATCCCAAAAGGCTAGCCCTCTATCACACTGTGCTGAGATAGAGGTAGGATACAAAAATTAGCACTCTGGCACAGACACACCTGGTATAGTCTATACACTTCACACACACTTTAACTCACCAATTCCAAGTCATTATCCATTAAACCACCTGCACATCCAAGCTTACAGCATCTGGTATTTCCAAGCAGTCACCCATTTAGATACTGACCAGGCTTAATGTTACTTAATTTAGGTGATCACACAGGAACCAGTGTTTCAATTCTTTCTACTGGTGTGAAGTGGAAAGATTATATTGAGTCACTTGCTAGGTTTGCTGCTAGGAAAGTTGGTTAACTGTGTTGATCTAGACAATTTTTCTTGCCAGAATCTATCTTACACATTTATAAATCTACCATTCATCCTTGCAATGAATGTTGCTGCCACATTTGGTCTGCTATGTATTTTGAGATTCTTGATAAAACAATCTACAATGTCATTGGTCCTTACTTGGTATCTCAGCTTTATTCACTTTCCCACCATCATAATGCAGCTTCTTTTTGTCTTTCTATAAATATTTTTATAGTTATTTTTCTGATGAGCTTTTCTCTTTGGTATCTAGACTTTGCAAATTTAAGCACACTACTAAATTGGCAGTTAGGTCTCATCTTACACTTGAAGTTGCTAGATGAAACCCTAAGTTATATGCTAACAGTTTCTTCTCTCATACTTCTCACTTGTAGAACTCTCTTCTGATTTATTGCTTTCAAATCAACTTTGATCTTCAAAAACTTAAATGCAATGTCAATCATTATTTTCTGTCTTCTTAATTACTTAGTGGCTTTATTACTGTGCTTTGGGTGAAATGATTACAAAAAAGAAGCTACCCATTACACCACTTGCATATCCTTTATTATAGAAAAGAAATACTTTATGCCAGAGCAAAAGAGACTTTGTAGAAAATGTCACAAAGGAGCCTCTTGTCTAGATTAATACCAAGTTACCTCATTACACACACAGGTATTTTCATACTCACCTATTTTCCACCTGCCCATGTAATATATCTGTACACTTAGGACCAGCGTTGTTATAAAGTGTATCACAGCAAAAATAATCCAGAAAATGGGATTTTGGTAAACCTGAACAAAAAGCAGAAAAGCATTATTACGGTTTCAACAGTTCTGCTTTTTTAAGTTTGAAAATGACAATATTACTAATTATATATATATATATATATATAATTAGTATTCATATATATTCATTAATATAATAAAAAATAAAGTTGATTATAATCATCTGATGACTTACTGTGATAATAACGAACATATCCCATCCTACCTGTTTCAGTACTAACCACTCTGCATAAAAGGTTGTTCACTAACAATTCAGTTCTTAAATTTATTTTCAGCATTGTTATTCATTACATTTACTTTACGAAAAACTTTGAAATTCCTAGTTGACAAAAATTTGCAACTCACCCTTGAAATAAAATCACATTTTAGGCCTTTTTCGAAAGCTTGGCAAGTAGCATGGACAGTTGAATTCAGGATTTATAATTTACTCAATTATAGATCCATTTCTTATCATTGAATCATAAAAATTAAAAAAAAAAACAAAACCTTATTTGATGCTAACTTAGTAAACATATCATCAAAAATGATACAACCCCAGAAAAAATATTTTTCTTTAAAATTCAAACCCTTAAAATCTATGGCGAAGTGAATTTATTTAATATATTCTCACTTTTAGAATATTAAGTCTCAATCCAAGAGGCAGCTGCTTGCTATCCCAAAATAGGAGTTCCTGGAATGCTTCTATTAATGGTAACAATGTTGGATAAAGTGTGTGTTTTCAGAAGAGAACTACTTTGAAGGAGATTTGTAGGGACATTGTTATTATAAGTAAATAAAAATAAAATAATAATAATAATGGATATTATAAATAAAATGAAACAAATAACATAAAAACTTTGTATAAAATAAAATAAATATAAAATAAAAATAATAAAAATTATCCCTGCATGCAACAGAAACTGTTCCTGCTGGAAAACAGATATCCCACAAAAAGATGTTGAATTCAATCTTTTTGCTATCAACCTTTGGAGAGTTAACACATCCCAACTTCTCTCTCCAGGACATTGCTTGTGATAATACGAAGTAACTTTTTCCTTTTATTACATGCAACCTTAAACATTTGCAATCTAAAATACATACACCAGTACACAAAAATAAATAAATTGTATGATATTAATGTACAATTTAACATGCTTTTACTGTTATCTCTGTGTATGTTTTATTCCTGTGAACACAAAGCTATTTCTGCTGCTATGATGTGAGTGATCCCACAGATTAAATGATATGTGTGACAATTTCCTTTTTATAGTACTAGTCCTGATACTTTTTGATCGATCCTTGTATGTGTAAATACTAACGATATCTTGATTATTAACAGAATTTCTATGATTTCAGCTACTTATTAGAATTAGGATTATTATCTTCTGGATAATGTGTAAAGAACATGAAACACATTTTATATGTATAAATTCATATAAAATACGAATATACACACCACCTGCACATCCATTTGTGCAAATACCCTTGGGAAAAGTGAAAAACAATCTCTTCTTCCTCCAGTTAAGTGTTAAATATTATGGCAGACTAGACTGTGAAGCTGTGGTTGGCAACAAGTTTAGGAGAAGGCCAACTTGGAATTCAATACCATATGCAGTTCTGTTGTAGCACATATTATACAGCCATTGACAAGATCATGGACTTCACAATGACTATAATTTCAACTGTATTGATGTATTATTATTATTATTTATATAAAAAGCTCCTTTTGTCAAGAATAGCAGAAATAAACATGTATGAATAATGATATCTTAATTGTAAACACCTGCAGAATTTCTAGTACAGGTATACTGCAGGTTAAGTTGTTTTGAGTTAAGTCGTTCTAGATTCTACGTTGTTTCTCAAAAAATATGTGGAAAAATAAAAATCATTTTATTCCACTTTACGTCTGTCTGCCACAAATACTGAAGTTATAATTTCACTAGAAAAGTGTTAAAAGCACATGTTACTGTACAATAAATAAGAATGAAAGTATATAAAATCACTTTAGAATACTTACATTTACAGTAAATGTTAATATAATCATCATAAATCCTAGAGAACAAAATATGAAAACATCTGTGATTCTGTGTTGTTGTCTTATTTAGCATTCTTTAAGAGCTCAATATTGGCATTTTCAGGGTAGTTTCAATATCTACTGTTTGGCATTGTTGTCAGTGCCACTCATGATTCCTGCGAAACTGAAATCCAGTTTAGTTTAGGCATACACACGATATATGAATGCTTATCGCCTACTCTCTCATTCTCATTCATCTGTGACTTTATATTTTACCCAATGGCTCCTAAGAAAATTCCTAGTGCAAGTGCTAAGTGTCATGCTATAATGCTGGATGATAAACTTACTATGATAAAATGCCATGTAAAAGGTGAAAAGGTTATATCAATTACTCAATCTTTTGGAATGAGTCGGACAACTGTATTGTCGATTGTGCACAATAAAGATAAGATTTTGGCACATGTCAAATCTGATGCTCCAGGGAAGAAGAATACTGTTATCAATAAGAAAAGAGGAAAAATCTTTGAAGAGATGGAACAACTTCTTTCTCTTTGGATTGATAGGTTGAATCATCAGCGTGCTGCTATTAGTCAAGAAATCATTCAAGTGAAAACGTTGTCTTTGTTTGAGGACCTGAACAAAAAATACCCAGATGAGAAAGATTTAGCGTTTAAAGTGAGTCAAGGCTGGTTTATGAGATTTAAAGAATGAAGAAGTTATCACTATTAAGAAGCAAAGTGAAAGTGCATCAGCTGACGAACAAGCAGCAGCTGATTTTCCTAAAGCATTGGCTAAGATCATCAAAGAAAACGGATTTCTTCCTGAACAGATTTTTAACGCTGATGAAACTGGATTATATTGGAAAAAATTGCCAGACCGTTCTTTCATTTCTAAAGAAGAAAAATCAATTCCAGGTTACAAGGTCTCAAAAGAACGTGTGACCGTTATGTTCGGAGGTAATTGTGCTGGAGATTTTAAATTAAAACCATTGTTTGTGTATCATGCACACAACCCCCGTGTCCTGAATGTAATCAAAGCATCTCTTCCCATTATATGGATGGCTAATCCAAAAGCATGAGTGACTGTTGTTATTTTTGAAGATTGGTTCTTTAATCATTTTATCCCAGCGGCAGTAAACTATTGCAAGAAGAAGGGGATTTCTTTTAAAATATCATTAATAATTGACAATGCTCCTGTCCTTCTACAAAACATTGTTGATTTTCACAATGTTACCATTGCGTACCTCCCCCCAAACACCATATGTCTTATACAACCAATGGATCAGGGAGTCATTGCAATCTTCAAGCGTTACTATATGAAATGTATGTTATGGAAAGCAATAGCTGCAACTGATCTTGATGAGTCATGCATACTTTGTGACTTTTGGAAGAATATATAAGGCTGTACAGCACACAGAATGATGTAAATTTGAGACAAGTAAATTCGACAAGTCATTTTTCCACTTAAGTTGCCTCTCCTGGAACAAATTACTGATGTAAGGTGAAGTATACCTGTAGATTAGCTAAATATTATAATTAGGACTGGGATCTTTTAGGTACAATGGGATAATGTGTAAAGAACATTAAACAAATCATAAAAAGCGATTAACAAATGTTTCTTACCACTTTAACAACTGCTGTGAATTCAGCTAGTTATTAGAATCAGTATTGTGGTCTTTTGGGCACAGCGAGATAATATGTGAATAACATTAAACAAATTTTATTAAAAAATAAAAAAAGTGATTAAAAATGGTTACAACCATTTCAAAAACAGTTTTGAGTTCGTTCCAATTTTGTTTTTCGTTTGTTTAATGGCATATCAACTCCTTATGGGTCATTTAATGCTAAACTTTAATTTTCTTGAGATCTTTGAAGTAATAAAAATATATTATTCTGCTTTCACAATTGAATATATGGTAGATGATACTCGCTTTTGTGCATATATATGTTTGTGTGGACATAATTACTACAAGTGGTGATACATGTGTTTTATGTTATAGTTTTGTTGAAGTTATATTTTGGAATACAGTTTGATTTCTTTTAGAAATTGTTGGATATTATATAGATTAATGTAATGAAAGAGTTCTTCCAAGTTGGTTGTTTGATTTTTAGTGGCATATCAATGTCCATGGCTTATTTAATGACAAAATCTAAATAATTTTATATTTTCAACTACAGATATTTTGTACATAATTTTATACTTTCAGAGTAAATGTATGTCTTTTTAGATATATATTTTGTAGATCATAAAATGTATTGTTGGTAATTTTATTATAAAAATGTACTTCTATATATTTTTAGTATTGCATTGTCATTTCGCTATAAAAAATGTATTGTTGGTCAATTTATTATAAAAATGTACTGTTGATTTTTGTTTTGAGGTTCACTATTTGCCTATAGCTAAGACCCTAACAGGTGCTACCACCCTGGGTCAGAGTGGACCTGAAAACAACAGCAATTAAGAGGTGGTCCCACACACCTCAAAACCTCCAAGGTCCTGATCAGAGGCCTTGCTGCCTGATATATTAAGTTCAACTTGTTATAATTAGGACTGTGATCTTTTAGGTACAATGGGATAATATGTAAATAGCATTTAACAAATTTTATTAAAAAATAAAAAGTGATTGAAAAACATGTTAATACCACTTTAATAACTGGTATGAGTTTAGCTACTCATTATAATTAGTATTGTGGTCTTTTGGGTATGTAAATAACATTGAACAAATTTTATTAAAAATAAAAAAAGGATTTAAAAAAATTATTTTCTTACCACTCCAATAACTGCTATGAAGATAATGAAGGCCATATAAAGATATGCTGTGTGGGCCTTAGCATTTATATCTGGATGCCTTGTCTGGTACAAACGTAGCATACACAGGCAAGCAATAATATACATAAATGAAGTATCTGTAAAGAGAATAAATGGAAACTAAATGTGATTAGAAAGCAGAAACTTAATATGAAAAAAATTGATAAAATTTGCTACATTTTCATGAACATTTCATACACTAAATGTAACAATCATTATGGGACAGAGTTAGTATTTATTTATTTATTTATTACTACCTCTGTCCCATAGTGGTTGTTGCATCTGCATACACATGTCATACACTAAATGTAACAACTATTGTGGGACAGAGGTTGCCTTAGTAATGGGTAATGGTCAGCAAGCTAGTCTGGTTGAACATTACTATTGAACAGTTAGGTTTGATCATTACTGGGTGTTTCATACTTATGACCTTGTGCCAAAACTGAGTAACAACTCAGGTGCCTCAGCATGAGCTAATGGTTAGCAATGCTAGTCTAGTTGACCATTACTACTGAGTAATGGGTTCAATCTCCATTTGGTACCCCACAGCTGCTGCCTTGTGCCAAAACTAATTAAGTTTAGTAAATGATTAAAAGAGCACTTTAACATTGGCTAATGATCAACAAGCTAGTCTTGTCAGACATTACTACTTAGTAGTGAGATTAATCATCACAAGGTGCCCATACTTGTGCCCTTGTGCCAAACTAAGCTTCATAAATAACTATTATGGAACAGAGGTACTATTTATTTGTTTATTACTACTTTCAATAGGTATAGATAGGTTTGCCTATTGTTTGGTTCAGATTCCTCCCCAGTCTTTTGAACAGGAGTAGAGGTTTATCCCTTGTTTCTTGTTTAGGATTGGGTTTCTTGGTTTTCTCATTCTCTTTCACTCCCAGTAGAATTATGTCCTATAATAGTTGTTATATTTATATACTCATTTCATACAATAAATATAACAACTATTTTAGAACAAAATCATAATATTTTTGATGTGAAGAATCAAAATCAAAACTTATTTATTTACACTGTATATTTACCATACTTTTCAGACACTTATGTTTAATTAAACAGATTTTAAATAGATTTTCATATTTACCAAAGAATTATTATTTATTTTTAGTTGATGCTGCTTATTTGACAGTTGTACAATAGCAATCACAGATTTGTGATAAAAGCAACTTAAATAAAGCAGAAGAAAGACTAATCAAAGATTAATAAAAAATTTTCTGTGCTGTTAAAATTTTTATGATTGTAACTTTTATTATTTACATTCAGACTAACATTTGCATCTTTTTTGTTATTATCACAATGTTTCAGCTGTTATGCTCTCTATCCTTCTTCAGGTGTCTGTCAATCCAAGTAGTCCTCAGAAAAATTAAAGCAATTTATTTAATCTACAGCATTAGATTGTTCTGATTCCACTGTTCATGTCTTGTTCTTTTTTAATAGTGCTCAGTTATTACTCTCCCTTTTTCCACTGAGTCCAAGTCTGTAATACCCAGCCCAGGGATCAAACACAAAATTCCTCTATCACCAAATCCATGAAACAATGCTTTAATCTCCTAGGCTATTGTTCTTTAACATGGACAACAGAACAAGAAAAAACTCTCTCTGTAGATTAAATAAAGTGTTCAATTTGAAATTCCCTGAAGAATACCTGAATTGGCAGATATCTGAAAAAAGCCAAAACATTGTGATAACGAAGATGAAGACATTAATATAAATAGTGATAACTATTCATCTCAGAAATTTAGACTGTTATATTTTACTTTAACAATAGCACTGGAAATAAGGTAATTGGTTAATTTCTCCTACTAGCCTATATGAGAGCCAGATCAGGTCAAAAATGGAGTACTGCTGCCATATATGAGCAGCACCTGCTCAGTTTTCACTTTTCAATCTTGACAGAGTCCAAAAGTAACTCTTGTAGGTGGTTAATTATTTACCACCCTACAGTCCCTTTCCCCACAGATGAAGTATTGCAAGTCTCTGACTACTTTATTGATATTTCCATGGAAAGTGTTCTGATGAACTACATTTTTTAGTGCTACCAGTTCACACCTTGACAGTTATCTGCCATGCTACACACATTGTAGTGAACCACCTTCATTCCCTACGTATTCCAATTGTGAGATGTAAGTTTCACTCAAGCAGATTCTTCCCATGAATTGATGCTTTGTGGGACCAACTCCCATGAGGATGCTTCCTCAATCACTACAATTTTGGCCTGTTCTAGCATCAACAATTATCTTCCCCACATATCCTTATAAACTGTGTTTCTTGGTCCTTGTACAGGGTGAACATCATTATAAAAAAATATCAACTCTTATTGGGTCATTTAATATTTAATATAAGTTTTAATAGGTCAAAAGTAAAAATGAATTAATAAAAAAAGGTAGACACAAATTCAGTTTTCATTAGAGTTAAAATGAGTCCTCAAGACTGTTTTACACCAGTGTTAAAAAGGCAGTTTACATAAGATTCAAGAAAATAGATATATGTCCAGTTCATATCAAAGCCTGCAAGAATCCACTTAGGTGTTCCTGTTGAAGTGGGGTCTTAACCCACTACAAGATAATGCAGTTGGTGTATTCTAAGCTTTGACAATAAGGCCAGGTATATGGACACTGTTGTAGTAAAATGCTAAGAAATTTCAAGCTTTCTGTTATTGGTTATAAACAACTTGAAACTTGAAAAGGTTAACTAATTCAAATTTAGACAACAATTCATTTTTTTTATTTGTGCAGCTGTTCCATCAGCTGTGCATTGGCTTGTGTTCACAGCTGATAACAGCTAGCATTCATAAACTTTGTAAAGTTTATGCTGGTTTGCTTTTAAAGTACTGTAATCCTGTGTGTATAAGACATGGGTTTTTCTGTCATTCAAAATCATGTCCAAAAGTCTGCTGCATCTTATACTCAATCTCTTAGAATTCAACCTCATTTTTTTCAGGACTCAAAATGGACAAAAATCAGGTCAAATGTGATTTATTTGTTTATGGAGAGATAATATCTCTCTAATGGTGTATTTTAACAAAGGAAAATAAATCTTTCATTATGTTTCTCTAAGTCATGAACGGTTCCATATTTTTTCTGGATTTTGTGTGAGTTTTGAAATCATTCACTAGTAAAAATATTATTTAATTTACAATAAAAAAATACAAAATAATGCATAATTTCAAAATAAAAACCATTGAAAGAAATTCCTCAGATTGTCCCCCAATAATTAAAACCAAAAGAAAGAAACAAGTTAATATTTATTCAATTTTATTTTGATCTACTCAATGTGTATTGATTTAGTGGTCTTATACACCAAGAGTCATTATCTCATTTTTGTAATGCTTATGGATCACAAAAGTAAACCAAATGTGTCATTTTTTTTTCTCTTCCTTTTTCACAAGTTTTGGTTATTTTCTTTGCTCTAAAATCAGGTGCATTTTATACATGAAAATGAAACTTTTTTTCCCCTGGAATTTGTCTGCATTTTTTAATTGTGTTTTATACTTCCTAGCAATCTATACACAAAAGATTACTATAACTAGTACAGACATCTTTTTCTTCTATGTGCCACATGCCTTCAGAACATAGGCAATCATGGCTCTCCACAATCTCTTGTGGCTCTTAGCAGTTTTTCTCCTTTTGCTCAGGTCCCCACCCCATTTCCACTGTCCATTCATTAACTCATCAAGTAAGTGGCTTGCTGCCTTCCTCTATCTCTCTTACCCTCAATATGCCCTATGAGGGCTAACTTTTCCAAGCCCTCCTTCTTCATGTATCCAAGGAATTTCAGCTGTCTTTCCTGATTCTCAGTAGAAGTGTACTTTCTGTTGCACTTTTCTTTAAGACTTCTTTGTTGCTTACTTGCTCCATCCATGGAATTTTCAGTATCCTTCTGTCAAACCAAATTTCTGCTGCCTCTAGTTTTCTCCTCATCCATGGGGAGATTTTCCAACATTCACTACCATATAAGAGGATTGATAACATATAGTAATCCAGCACTCTTTTCTTTTAATGAAATTTTTCCATTTCACAGTACTGGAATGCTTCTTTCACTAGTCCAATGTGTGTTCGGATCTCGGTGTCACATTTTCCATCCTTTGGCAAAACGCTTCCTAGATATTTAAACTTCTTTACTTGCTTGATTGTTGACATCTCCAATTTGTAACTCACATGTTACACTTTTTCTCTTGCTAATGAACATACTTTCTGATTTATGCAATTGATGGTTAGCCCTTTTTTTTTTGCTTTCTTCTACTACTCTGTCTATAAAGTCCTGCAGTTTTCTTTCCGAGTCTGCTATCAACACAGTGTCATCTGCATATTTTATATTGTTAAGATTATACATACCAATAAATCCTGGTAGAGTCTTCAATTCCCTTAGGATAGTGTAGAGGTTGAATCTGAGATAAGACACACCCTTGTCTCATGCCCCTTTCTGTTTGTGTGTAGTTATTCTGTTTTCTATCTGCATGCAGGTGGTTTACTCCAACTATAAGTTCTGAATTATTCTAATATCTTTTTGTAATAGACTGAGTTTTCCTAGCAGTGCAAATAGATCCTTGTCAAATGCTTTTGTGTAATCTATTTGAAAATCCAAAGTTAAGAAATTAACCTTTTTATCTTATTATTTTGCACCTAATACAAGGCCCAAGAGTCACTCAGTCTATCAGATTATTGAATGAGATTGTTTTATAGGTGCAAGAGGAGGAGGTAAGAATTTCAGATTATGGTGATATGTAGGATAGACAAAGGTTATGTATTTAGTGGTCAGGGGAAGCATCCTCTTGAGAGTCTGTTCCACAAAGCAGTGGTCCTTGGGAAGAAGCTGACCAAATAACTCCCTTCTTAGCAATGGAGTATGAAGGGAATGAGGATGATTCAATGTTGCGTATATCAGGTGGTAGATCTTAGTTGTAATGATCTGAACTTGAGGAACTAGGGAACATAGCTCATCTGAACATTTCCATGGAAATAGTTATAGAGTAACAAAAGGCTTGTAATGTTTCATCTGTGTGAAAGTGGCTGTAGGGCAGAAAATAATTCATCAGCCACAAGGCCATGTAGATGTTTTTGTCAAGGTTGGAAAGAAAGTATTAGGCAGCTCCATCTGAGATATGATAGCAATACTCCAATTTTGGTTTGAACTGGCTCTTGTAAAGAAAGAAGAATCAAATACTTTCTAGAGTGGTACAAGAAGAGCTAACCATTTTTTTCCAGCATTTTTAGTAATGGATTGTATATATGAGTTTCATTGAAATCTGGAGAAACTTGGTCTCAACAGATGTTCAAAACAAACAGCCTATTTGAGAGAGCAACCATTCATCCTGGAGAGGATTCAGGACCCTTTTAGTGTCTGAATGTATGTCTTAAAATATGTTCCAATATGTTTCTTTTAATCATCTGAGAGAACGCTTTTTGCCTTCTATCAGCATGACTGATACTAACCTCTAGGAGAGTGACTCATTATGCCTTCTTGACTAACGTTTTCTACTCACATGAAATGGAAAGATTATATTGAATCAATTGCTAAGTATGCAGCTAGGAAAGTTGGTTCACTGTGTTGTGCTAGAGAATTTTTCTCACCAGAATCTATCTTACATAATTATAAGTCTACTATTCATCCTTGCTTTGAATATTGCTGCCATATATGGTCTTGTGCTCCTGATATATTTAGAGTTTCTTGATAAAATCTGAAGAAGAATCTACAATATTATAGGTCCTGACCTAGCATCTCAGGTTCAGTCACTTTCTCACTGCCATAAGGTAGCTTCCCTGTGCCTTTTCTATAAAAAAAAATCATGGTAATTGTTCTGATGAGCTTTCCTCTATGGTACCTAGACTTTATTAATTTAAGCACAGCACTAGATTAACAGCAAGGTCTCATCATTTTGCAGTTGGAATGGCTAGATGTAACCATAAGTTCCATGCTAACAGTTTCTTCATTTGCATTCCTTGATTATGGAACTCTCTTCTGGCTTCTTACTTTTCAGTAAACTTTGATCTTCAAAAATTACAATGTCAATCATTATCTTCTATCTACTTAATTCTTGTTCTTTTATTGTTCTCTCTCCTTAATATTATTTTTCTATAATATTCTCTAACATTCAGTAACCCCTTGCATCTTAGTGGCTTTATTGCCTTACTTGGGGATGAAATAATAATAAAAAAATAATGGAATGATAGATACTAAAAAGTTAAGTTTTAAATGAACTTACAGTTTTGGCATGAAATAAAGTCAGATAAAAATAAATACAATGGTGGTAATGGTTTGGATGCTAATAATGAAATTAATTCAGATGATGATACTGATATGGCCAATATGGCTAATAGTTGATTGATTTGCTTTTTACAGCTTATCAGCCTTTTATGGGTTATTTAAAGCCAAAACATAATTTGGATTGTAAGCATAGTTGTTTTTTTATGAGTGAATATTACATTAACAATTTTTTTAGAATGAAATTATTTTTCTAGACAAGTCCTACTATTTAACTCATAGCTGGAGAGAGAAGAGATGGATTCATACCTTTACCAAGGCTATTTGCATGAAAGTGAATATAATAAACTTGACTGTAAATTGAAATCAGCTCTCTGATTTCCCATTTTGAGTTGCTATCCATTACACCACCTACACACCCTAATATGGCTAAAGGATAAAAAAAAATCCTGGTAATATGACAATGTAGTGGAGCAGGTTGGGTACAGCCAAGGCTGGATTATCCTTTAGGCTAATACAAGCTACAGCCTAGAGTCCAGTAAGCTTTTATAAATCAACGATTTTAATTTTCTAGTTGTTATAAGTTCTAAATAGTTTCATAAACTGAAATGATATCAATATGACAAACTTATGTTTATTTTGATTGTTTTATTGTTATGATGATTATAAAAAATCTGATTTTTAATACAGTTGCATAGAAATGTGTACTACTTTATATTTCTTAAGAATATATTTATTGACAAACAAAAGATAGCTATTCTAGTTTATTTAAAGAATTTGTAATAAGTTTACTTCAAGCTGTCTAAATGTTGCTACAATATATCCTGAGTAAAAAATATTCAAGAGTGTGGGTGAATTAGAGGGTGGCTCCTTCTGAGGGGAGCCCAATAATTTCATTAGCCTATGGGTCCCAAAAGGTCATATTCTGGCCTTGGGTACAATGTAGCAGTGAAGATATTGATAAGGATTAAGATGTTTAACATTGTAACAGTGTTTATTTTAACTTTTGTTACCTAGAGGATTTTATCAAATATTTCAACCACAAATTGTTAGTAGTGTAGAACAATATTGTTGAGAAGAAATTTGACAACAATAGGAAAACTTACCAAATTGGAAATTGGAATAAGTTGGGCATACATGATAGCAGGCACTCATCACTCCTTCCATACAAAGGCCAAGGCCCATAGCATAAAACAGGCCATATGGTTGAGGAATACCATAATACTGTAGAGAGATAGAAACCAAAAGAAAATTTGTTTGGATGTTTTATACAATAAGTGTCAGCATCACCATGGGTGTGGATATTTATGGTTTGGATATATACAAGCAAGGTCATCCAGCACTGCTCAGGTTAATGGTTTTATAAAGAACTATCAAAGTTATCTGATGGTTTTCCTATTAAAATAGCATTTGATATCTTGTGCTTTCCTCAATCACTTTAAACAGTGCTGCTTATTCCAATGTTTTCTTTTTAAAGCCTTTCATTAAGCGTGATGCTAAGGATGTATAAACAGTGACATTTCTTGCAATTAGGAAGTTGGTTATGGGGAGGGGCACTTGGAGCCAACATTAATGTGTGTGTGAAATGGGAAGCAAAACAAAGTAAATATAAGGAGAATTTTACCCTTGCAATTATGTCTATACTAAAGAAAATGGCAGTAAGTGCCACATGTGATACACACGTGGGCAATCATGTATGTATCTTTCTATACTTGACTTATGAGGCAGAAGATTTTCCCCACAGCAGGTTGCCTTTTCTTTCTGAGGTAGACTGGTTGTCAACCAAAGCTAAAGAATCCAGTCTGTCCTGCTACTCAACCCGCAGCAGGGAGGAGAAGAAATGGATTTATACCTTTGCCAAGGTTATTTGTGCATAAGTGTTATGGTGGAACACATCTATTCTATAGTTAATAGACTCTCCCACCTATAATAAGTAGGAGTAGTAAGAGTAACAAGTCAGTCGGTCAGTTTGTCGATGTCGGATGGCAGTCGAATACTAAAGTATCAGCGACCACAACTAGATTACTCTGCATTATACCTATTATATCAAGTTCCTAACATTTTGTACATTGAACCTATTTTAGGACCGACTTAGTACAAATACTAGCCTCCACTGTGAAATCACTCCTCAACATTATTTGGCGACAAGGAATTCATACTCATACGGAGGAAACAAAAAAAAAATTCACTCGTTGGGCGACGAAATTTGTACTCGTACGGTGGAAAAAAAAATTTTGCTCGCCATAACAATTTTTGGTGACAAAATTCGTACACATACGGAGAAAAAAAAAATTCGCTCACCACAATAACTTCGGCAGCAAAGTCTCGGATTCACACTTAAAAAAAAACATTTGGAAAAGTTTTTCACAAGCCAAGACGTCAACTTGGTAACGAAAAAACCTGTCGTATTCTCAACTGAGAAAAGAAATATTTTTTTTCCCCGATAAGAAAGTTTGCTCAAATAGGTCACGAATTGCAAATTCATAGGACCCCGTCTCTACAATATTTAAGCATTGTGTAAACATTTTGCGAAGATGGAGGAATGCAAAAATATATTCCAGGAATTCTTTAAGTTCCAGTCGGAACAACAGATGACAATATTGGAGCAACAGAAAACATTCCAGATGCAACTACAGGAAGAAAGTTTTAATAGAAAAATGCAATTTCAACAAAAAATGGAACAGATGCATAGGGAGTTTCAAAACAAAATTCTGGAAATAACTGAGAAGAGGAAAGAGAAAAATCTACAAAATGATTCTTTCCCAGAGAATACAATATGGAATTCAATTGAAATATTCACGTACAGTCCAGATGAAGAGATAACTTTTGAGGAGTATCATAAAAAATATACGGACATGTATAATGATGATTGCCACTCGTGGTCTGAAGAAAAGAAGGTTAGGCTTCTTGTAAAAAAATTAGGAACTGCTGAGCATAACAAATTGGTAAACTACATTTTACTGAAAAAAACTAGCGAGTTGACATTTACCGAGGCGGTAAATATATTAAGTGAATTATTTAGTAAAAAGACATCTTTGTTTTACAAGAGGTGGAAATGTTTGAATCTGATGAAAGATGATGAACAAGACTATATAACATACACAGCCAATGTGAACAAGCATTGTGAAGAATTGAAGCTGGCAGAGTTAAGCGCAGACAATTTCAAGTGCTTGGTGTTTGTTCAAGGGCTGGTATCGGAAAGAGACGCAGAGTTGAGAAAATTAGTACTGGCTAAATTGGAAAGTGAGCCAAGTGTTACAGTACAGAAGTTGGCAGAAGACTGCACAAGATATGTTAGCGTAAAGAAAGATTCAAAAAAGATAGAACAGTCTGGCGTTTCGCATGTAAGAAAAATACGCTACCAAAAAGAATTCTAAAATTGCAGATTATCAAGCAAAAAGTGAAATACCAGAGAAAGATAAACAAAAACTCCCGAAGACATGCTTTGCTTGCGGTGAACTACACTGGTACAGATATTGCAATTTTAGGAATAAAAATGTTTCAACTGTAAAAGAGTGGGTCATAAAAGCTCGCACTGCATGTCAAAAAATAAAGACAATAAAATAAGAAAATTAAAGTCCGACAAGGTGAACGATGGAATAACCAGAAAATTTGTGACCGTCGAAATAAGTAATAAAAAAATAAAAATGCAACTCGACACTGGTTCTGACCTATCTATCATAAATTTGCATACGTGGAAGAAGTTGGGGAAACCAACTTTAATGAAGACAAAGAAAATCGCGAGGTCAGTGATGGGAGAAAAAATACAATTTATTGGAGAATTTGTGACAAACGTCACGTTAAATAAAAAAACATGAAAAGCTAAACTATTTGTCATAGAAAATACCACAAACTTACTTGGTATGAATTGGATAACAGAATTCCAATTATGGGATCTACTGATGAATTCTTTCTGTTACAAGGTAGAAAGTTTAAACTCCGAAGCCCAAAAATTAGTAAAGAAACTTAAGGAAACATTTCCTACTGTTTTTTCTCCAGGTTTGGGAATGTGTACCAAGATGGATGTAAAATTGCAGCAAAAAGAAAATGCTCAGGTGGTATTCAAATGGAAAAGGAATGTGCCGTTTGCCTCAATTGAACAGATAGATAAAGAATTAGACAGATTAGAGAAAACCCAGTGTATTTAAAAAAGTTGAGTATAGTGAATGGGTAACACTGACGATATACATGAAAAAAAAAGCTCCAGAAAGTAAAGATGAAGCCAACACTGAGAAAAACTGGGGAGCGAGTTACCTGCAGCCAAGGACATGCAGTATTATTAAATGATTTAAGTCAACTGAAGTCACCACAAAAAACGTTAAGAAGCACAAGATCAACAAAAGGGAAGCTAGAGGCTGAACAAATAGAACCACAAGAAAAACCTACAGAAACTGTGACACCATCCTTAAGAAGCTCAAAGTGGAAGGTTGTTTCTGGTAACACTATGGAGGTACCAAAAAAAAAAAAAAATAGAAAAGCAAATTGGCAATAGGATGTACTTGGTGAAAGGCGAAAAATTCATGTGCAGAAGGCACATTAACCAGATCAGACATGGTTGACAGCGGTCCCCGCGGAAGAAACGCCAATGGAGGTGATTTTCAATACATTTGCTTTAACAACGCCTGCAACGATTTTACCTGAGGTACGCCGATCCAGGAGAAAAAGAAAGGCAACTGATCATTTAAAAGTGCATCCAAAACATAGGAGATATGCTATGATGTTGCTAAAAAAAAAATGAATTTTTTTTTTGTTTTTTCTTCATATTTCCTGTAAAAAATAAAGAAAACTGTTTTACTCCTACGGAGTAAAGTTTTAGTGGGGGGGGGTGTTATGGTGGAACACACCTATTCTATAGTTAATAGACTCTCCCACTTATAATAAGTAGGAGTAGTAAGAGTAACGAGTCAGTCCGTCAGTCAGTCCGTCGATGTCGGACGACAGTTAGTCAAATACTAAAGTATCAGCGACCACAACTAGATTACTCTGCATGATACCTATTATATCAAGTTCCTAACGTTTTGTACATCTAACCTATTTTAGGACCGACAAATACTAGCCTCTACTGTGAAATCACTCCACAACAATAAGTGAATATAACAAACTTGACAGGAATTTGAACTTGGCTCTCTGAGTTCTCATTCTTAGCCGATATCCATTACACCACAATGCACATCTGTGTATTTTCTAAATGTAAAGAAAGAAAAGAGTTCTGAAATGTTATGTAATATCAACCCTCATATATGGCAGTGAATACTGGACAATCTCCTTACAGATGAAAAAGAGACTTGAAGCAACAGAAACTTAGTTCTACAGAAGGATACTAAAAATACCATGGACCAAACATGTGATCAACACAAAATGTTAGAGAAAATGGAAACAAAAAAGACACTTATACTTAACATCAGGAAGAGAGTTGAAATTTCTTGGGCACATAATGAGGAAAGAGGGATTGGAAAATTGGATACATGCAGGACAGATTGAAGGAAAGATGGACAGAGGAAGGCAACACATAACCTACCCAGTGAGCTTAAGTGAATGGATGGCAGATCAAGGTTTAGGTGAGATAGCAAAAAGACAAAATTTATTAAGAGCTACAAAGGACAGAAAATTGTGGAGAGCCATGATCGCCTACACCCTGAAGGGACACCATACACTTTTGTCCAATTTTTTTTTCTTAACTGTAGCTATTATGATAGATTTCACATGGGAAAATCTATTTTTGCTTGCTTCTTTCCATCATTATTGCTGAGGCTCAGGAAACATGGACAACTGTTATGGTTTTAAATTCAGAATTGTTCTTTTCCTGGACTGGCTGTCAACAACATCTAGAGAGCTCAGTTTGCCCTGCTATTTAACTTATAGCTGGGGTAGAAGAGATGGATTCCTACCTTTCCCAAGGGTATTTGCATGTAACAAACTCAACTGGAATGTGAACATGGTTCTCTGATTTCTCATTCAGAGCTACTATTTATTACACCACTGGCACATCCAAGTCCATGGTCTTCATTGGGGGAGGATGTCAGCGGATCCCAAATCCTTTTTCTACTTTTAATATCAGTTATCAAACAGGACAGACAAACTTCTCAGGAATTAATTATAGCTTGATTTTTTTTTCAGGGTTTCTTTGGAAATCTAAGATTATTAAAATAAATATTAACTACACTTTATATTATAGTGTATAAAAGAGAAGAGAAGGGCAACATAGAGGAGAGACAAAAATCTGGGAAATGTGGGTTTGTCATGGCTCTTTTCTTCCTACTACATTATCACCAATGTGTGCAGATAATATAATGTTTATTGTCACAGAAAATGAGCAGGATTCAAATTCTAGCCAAGGCTGTTTGTGCACTGATTGCATGCCTTGATAAACCCACAAATTCATCTTTTCTCCTCAAGGGTAGATTGGGTTCTTTAGTAGAGCACCATTTCAGTAGAATTACAGCTCAGAATTCAAAATCCGCCTGAAGAAGAATAGGCTATCTTGCTCTGGACACACCCATTGCTGGGCTAGGGGGATATGCATGCTGTTATGGTTATATTTAAGTAACGATTTATCTCTAACTACTTCTGTACAAGTATTATATTTACCTCCCCCTCCCCCATGGTGGTAGGGGTTACCATAAGGTTGGTTTAATGTGTGTGCTGTACATACAAGTGGCGAGCAAAAATTGCCCAGGCCCTATGACCATTCTTTTTAGTGCAATCCTGTCACATAATTGGAACCCCTAGGACCAGGCTTCCCTCACATATTCTACAATTTGATCACAGCTCAAAGGCCAGAGAGTGTGTGCAGATGTCTGTTCTTTATAACGTTTTTTTTAGACAAATTTTTTTTTAACTGAAAAATGATCAATATACTTACCTGCTCAATATTTCCAAATTTTTTTACAGTTTCTCTATGTAACAAATCCCTAAAAATAGACAAAGAAATCCATTGATAGGCAAAGCATTTTATTTCAAATAAATACTCAAGTTAATAAAATAGTATCATGCTTGAACACAAATGAAAATAATTACAATGGAATGCTAGAAACTAATTATAATTAAAATGAATTAGATTGAACATTAAAAATAAAATAGACCACCCATAAACCCATTGCATCCTTTTAAAAGCAGTTCATGATGCAAAATGATGGGGTAATGATATTATTAATTTTATTATTAATGACACTTATTTTAATTTGTATTTGCAATACAGGTTATTGTAATAATTATTATTAGTCACATTATACAATATTACTTAAATTAAATGCAGGAAAAAGTTTACATTTTTTAGAATACAATTACAAACTGATATGACACTAAAGACCTTTCCATTCAGGTAATAGTAATCCCAGAGTGACAATTTATACCAATTTTAGTATTTACCATACTATAATTTTCAAAAGTGAAGGTCAATCAAAAAACAAACAGCAATTGTTTGGTTAGAGAAATTCATATTTATTAAAACAGCAAAATATGGATGTCTCTTTTTAGTGCACTTAGTTTCATTTTTTACTATCTATTTTTTTTCAAAACAATTAGTTTTTATTATATATATACTTGTTTTATTTAAAAATACATAATGTCTGCAATACATCTGTTTATTTATTTACCATCAAGTCATGTGACACAATTTTTCAGTGAACTGCATATGTTATGCATATTTAAATTTATTTAATAATGTTGGTATAATGCATTATGAATATTTCTTATTTAATACCAACATCGTTTATTGTATTACATTGTTATACCAGATGGCTGGTATTTTTGCGTAATAATACCACGCCATGCCTGTGTGGCATCGAGGTAAAAATTAGGTGCCACTATAAGTTACGTACCATAGACATTGATTGAATTGAAAAATCGCCGTAAAATGACGCAATAGTTATAGATAACAATGATGTAATAGATGACTATAAATATACGATACGCTCGTGAGGTCACACACATGCCTCCGATCCGCCGCATAAAGCGGAGGCCTGTACAATTCACTGTACCATATCACAGATTCCTAGGACCGGGGACGGACTTGGTAAAAAACAAATATTTACCTCCGCTTAATAAATTGGACTGGGCTGCGAAACGACACGATTTAAATTACGCAGATTCTAAGGTAATAACAAGAGAAGCGGATGAACAATTCTACAAAGACAGTGAACACACAGGATTACTGGGCATCGCCAGCAGAGCAGCACTTGAACTTAAGCACCAACTTGGATTCGATAAATATTTCAGAGGTGTTACCGAACTGGTTAACGGTGACGCTTCTAATAGCATACCTATTACGAAAGCTATGGATCAATCGGCGACAACAGAGGTTGACTCGGGGTCAGGAAACGGGTGGACAGGAACTAATATAGGAGGTGTCTTGCCAGAGGCCTCGGGAAATGAAGTAAGGTCGTATGTTATAAAGCGTTCCTTCAAAAATTTAGTCAAAACGACGGACATGAATTCCAGAACAGGGCACTTTACGAAATATGACGGAACTATAGATACAGGAATTCATAATGTAGGACACTTCTGCTGGGCCCAGCCAGAGTCAGGAGATTACATTGTTCCGTACTTTCTGTCCACTTGGGTTACACAGCCCAGATGGGAGGCCACTATACAATCGGCAACATCCTACAGAGTAAAAAGGATAGGGTGTTCGATTGAAAACATAACCTGTGGTGAATGGCTAACTAAAAATAACGAAGAGGTATTCGTACCAAATCCGGAACCATATTTCAACATATACATCGATAGAGGACAATATATTGGGTACGGAAATCTGGAAGGAATAACAAAGGTGCCAAACAAAAACTTTCATTTAATTCAACCTATGGTAGGAACAGACGCGGAATTACCAAAATACAAGTATAACTATGCAGCACCTATAACATTGATTAATAAACTACCGAACACTGGAGCGATAACGCAAGACAACTTGGAAACGGATGTACAAATGATGTTACTACACGACTGGAGAGAAATGCCGGACGTAAAGAAGCTAAGACAAGGTGATACATTCACGCATATATGGAACAACCACAGTCTACTGCGTAAACCGATCACAAACGTAATGACTCAAGGAAACTACGTGGTACAAGGTTCTCTAATGTCGGGAACAAGCTTAATCGAAACATCGATTGCGGGAGGTATTCCAACGGCATGGGATTCGGGTTTAGACATAAGTACAGCACCGAAATACGGCACATTGATTAAAGAGGCGGAAAGCAACCTAGCACATGGTGTAGCTAGGAAAAGAATGAGAACGGAAAGACAAGACGACTTATGTATGACAGAGGTTGCCGACATAGCATTTGATCATCAAAGGGGAAGAAAAACAAACTCATCAAAAATTGTAAACGAAACATTACCGAGTCACGAACAAACATCTGGATGTATAATGGTAGCAAACAGAACACTAATAAATAAAGTACTGTACACCAACGAGGATGCACCGGAAATGATTCTAATACACGTCCCACCAATTTTGAGACCTAACTCTACGACAGGCGTTCTATATTTCAATTTCGAATTAACTTACATGCTAGAGATAGAATGTTTTTACGAATCACTGGTACATCCACAAAAAGTGCCGTTGCAGGATCACGACGCGGCAATAGCTGCGACGTCAGCAAATTTCAATTACGAAATGGAATGCATAGTCCCGCCCAACAGGCATTTCCATGGCCAATCAGCAAAAGGCATGTTACACAATCACTCAACACACATCTGGGAAACTGATGACAAGGTACTCGGATTAAGTTACGGCAAGTTCATAAACAAGTAGGCGAGGAGGCGTTAACAAATTATTGTTGAGTCAACGAAAAATAATAATCAGGAGCAACCAGGTTATATTTCGCTGACACAACAAAAAAAAAAGCTATAAATGACGGTGTTAAAAATTTAGAGGACAGACAGCAGGCGCATAACGTAAGCAAACTTACCATGGCGAATGCTGACGAATACGGATCAACACAACAAGAAGAAAAAATAAGATTTAACGAAATGATACTACAAGACGAATACGAAGGAAAAAAATTGACACCTTACACATGGATATACCGCTGGTCTAGTGAAAACGAATTCATACATCACGTTAATGACAAAGAAATATCAGACTACAAAAACGCAATTCAATTTCAAAAATCAGAACACCATAAGTATTTTCAAAAAATCTGTGAAAACAGACCAAACATAATAGTGTATCATCGTGCTGGTTACAGCAAACTAAAACACTGCAGCGACATTGATCATTATCATATGATTACGTGGCACGCAGCACATCCTACCAGTGAGCACAGTTTCCTAACATTAAAAAAATTATTGTCTGAAAGGTCGGTTAAGCCTTACAACATAAACTGTCCTAAAGTGTACAATCCTTATGGACTAGCTACATACTTCGACAAAGAACCAAACACCAGAACCGCTATCGCAGCAGGAAATTTGAAGACTACGGCTCAGAAAGCAATGCTAAACAAAATAACATCAAAAACTTATAAAGAACAGGAGCATTCAGACGAGGAAGACGAATTAATAAACAAAGCTAACACAATCCGAGGAAAAAAATACGACTTTATCATTAAAATTATGAAAAAGTGCAATAGCACTGACATCGCCGACGTCATGCTGTACTGCAAAAATAGCTGTAAACGGTCTGATAAGGAGATTTGGTCTAACATATTTAGAAACACTTCAAACTTACAAAATATAATTCAGGCTGCGGCTAGCGACTTAAATGTACAAACAAAGGTGACGCCCATCTATGAACAGATCAGACAAAAAAAGGAATACTTTAATTCCGAAACAAATCGTTTCTGGGACGTACAGAAAAGTCTGGACATATACGAACAATGGTGCAAACATCATAATATAGACAGCAATGACTTTGGTGTCAAATTATTTGAAATCTGTCATAAAATTAGACCTAAAATAAACGGCCTACATATAACAGGAGTCAGCAACAGTGGCAAATCATACATCTTGCGATCTGTTCGAAACGGTCTTATGAACTGTGGTAGGATGCGCTGTCAGGCTTCTGACAATTTTACTTACGGATCGTGTGTGGACAAAACATTAATATATACCGACGAACTGTGGTTTACTCCACAGAACGTCGAAGAGGGAAAGTGCATTTTGGAGGGCACAGAAACCTATGTAAACGTTAAGCATCAGAATGAAAGGGTGCTAAAAAGAACACCCTCATTATCAACTAGCAATGAAGACCCCTGGAGACATGTACAGGGCGAAAAAGAAGCTATGACCAATAGGATGTTTATCTTTACAACATTAAGAGCCATGCCACAGTTAAAAGAATGGGGAATCATAGAACTCAATCCTCTAATGTGGCTAACAATTTGGCGAAAATATATAGAAGATTTTATACAAAAAAAATACGTACCGAAAAGAGACTACATGCACGGAGAACCGACAGAATCCACTAAATACAAAATATCGGAAATAGATAAATTATCTCCAACAAAACGTAAACTACACGCAGTGCGTAAACATTTATTTTTCACACACATATTTGGAATATAATAGATTAGCCTTTGTTTATATACATGTATTGATATAAGAATATGTATTGCAAACAAATAGTGAATTTTCTATCAAAAATTAAAAATTATTCTTATGTAATGTTTTGATTACTATCAAATCAAACCTGACTGTCGAGCATTTAGTGAAAAATCTCAAACACAAAATTCTTGCAAACTACTTTTGATATGTTCAATCATGTACATTACCTCCTCCATAAACTGCACAAATTTTTGGTTTTTGCATTTGTCAGATATTTTACCTTTCTTAAAATAAAAAGCTGAAAATACCGTTTATTTTGTTTAAACAACAATCCATCACTTTTGACAAAATTAAAATAAAAATGCATACCAATATGAAAGCTGATTGTAGGACCTTGTAATCTGTAATAGATAGGTGTTCCTTGTAGATGGTGAAATTTGCTGTTAATAGCAAACCATATATAAAATGTATGTAAAAAAAAAAAAATTGCCATTAAATTTTTTTCTTATTTATGCTAGAAAAAAAATTACAAAATTTTTGTAAAAAAAAAAAAAAATTTTTTTCATTAATTATAATATAGAAAAGAACTAATAAATTCAATGTTTACTACAATTAATAATATTTTTCTATACACTATAAATCCATTTGATGGTTGCAACTCCCCCAACTAAGAAAAGTATTTTTGCAGTTAGCAACTCAATTGTAAGCACAAAATGACTTAGGCACAAACATTTCAGTAGTCAATGAAAGAAATTATTTTATTAATTTGAGCTTTTTCCTTTCGCGATTCAATCATTATCTATCCTCCTTATCCCCATAATCTTTACTTCCTACAATCTTTTCTTTCATTCATATCACACATCTCATCATTACCATTTTGATGGTAACTCTCTACCTTGAGTGACTCTTGACCTTGTATTGGTTGAAATTCAGTAAAAAGAAAAAGAAAAAAGGTTTTCTTAGTATTTGAAGACACTACATGTGCATGACTTTTATTTCCATTAACATATTATATATAATTGGACAACTTTTGATGTAAAAAAGAAGACTCAAGCAACTTTGACTTACTCCTTCAATTAAAAATATTGAAATATAATACACAAGGTCATTTCAGATTTCAATAAATAAGTCTATATTCTAAAAGTTAGTGAATTGTTTTGCTTATTTAGCACCTTAGATTTTTTTCAAATACAATGACTGAAGTCAGAGGTAAATAAAAATGAAAACATGTTGACTCTTTTTTGGTTCCAATCTCAGTTGGAGGGCTGTAAAAATGTCCCCATCCCCAAATTTATAAACAAATCCTACAGATGCATGCTGGGATTTCTTCTTAACCAAGAAAATGGACCACTTCTCAGTCTCATCTACCATATTTTTATTCTTTCTTGTCTTGAAGTCAGAATGTTATAATCACTTGACTGTATCCCTTTTGTGTGTTAACACCATTCTTTCTGAACTTTTTGCCTTATTACTGTTGCTTTGACTAGTTTTGATTTGCATATACATATTGTTTGCTTAGTATTATTTTGCCCTGTTCTTTTTCTTGCTTTTGTTATTGGGAACTTTGTCAATTCCATTTTCACCAATTACACTTAACCATGATCAATTACTTTACACTCTTGAAGTCAAAACTAGAAAAAAAAAACCTCTTCAGTTTTATAATTGCTTTTGTATCCATGACTTCTAGAATAAACAGATGTTTGGATATTAAGCAGACGGGAATTAGCTTCAGCTCTTTGGATTTACAGAGGGATGTAAGATAGTCTATTATTTGTGTTAGCTTTTAAATCATTTCCACTGGTGTATTACATTAGATTCATAATAATTTGATAATGTATGGGGAAATTTTTTAAATGAGGAATTATCATTATTATATGCTTTGCTATTCAAACCAGGATGCTCATTTTTTGTCATAATCACAATATTTCAAATTGTTGTACACTCCAGCTTTCTTTCATTATTTATGTTAGAATTTTTGAGATGAAGAGTTATCCTTATTATATGTTTTACTGCATGGACCATCATGCTTATCTTGGTTGTTATACTCACAGCATTTTGGCTGTTGCACTTTCTAGCCTTTTTTCATTAATTACATTGGAATATTCGAAATGTAGACTTATCTTTATTATATAACTTCCTATTTGGACCATCATGTTTTTTTATTATAACAAACAAGATTAATCATGAAAATAGCAAAGAGTATAATAAAGATTCTCTAACTTTAAAAAAAAAATACATATTTACTGACCTTCTCCAGACAAGGAGTAAGAACAATATGCCCAGCATGACATAGCCGATATTACTGAAGACATTATTGAATGCACTAAGTACTCCAAATGGCATGGCACACTTAAAGTTATAATAGCAAGTGTCTTCATTGCCTGTCAGGTGAAGAACCTAAAAAATTCAAAGAAACAAGACAAGCATTGGAAAATCAATAATTTAATATAAATAGTTTTTCAATAATGAAACAAGTCATGCAATATCCAGTATCATTTAGGTGTTATGTTGATTGATAATAAACAGTGAACAAAACTGCCTTTGCCATGTAATAGCAAGTAATATTTAAGATTTAGAAAAGGATAATAAAAAACAGTATATTATTTATAAGAAATAAGTAAGTACTGATTATAGTCTGATTTCAAATATACAAACATGATACTTAAGAGTTTTTGATACATTTTAAAACTGAAAGGAAAAATAAGCTAGTTTTAAATTAAAATTTGACAAGGATGAGAAATTAACCTATTTAACATGTACATTTCAAGATGGTAATGAAAATCTTGGCAATGTATAACTCATAAACAGTCTTGTCAAATTCAAAGTGATATTCATTAAACATCAACTTTTATATACAGCATCTTTTCTTTTTATTATCAGCATCTATTTTTTGTTTCATGTTTTGTTCTGTCCACTTTCCAGTCTTCTTCAGATGAATATGTCCAGTGGAAGTGTTTTAACAGAGGACAGAAAATGAGACATTGAAATCCAAAGACACATTGGGATAGCCAAAGATTAATTCCAAAAGCTAAGCAAAAGTAATAAGAAACAGAAAATCTTTGTTAGAGACAAAGAAAAGAGTACTAAACTGTTACGTGACATAGATTCAGGTACTGGGGGAGACCATTGCACCAGTTCTACATAGAGGTAGCACCTCATACACAAGTCTGTGTTAGTTTGGTTTTTAATGAGAATAGGCAATTATATACAACTACTTATATTTATATTTCAATACTCCCACTTAAGCATGTAATAAGTATATTCAAGTTTTATTCTTTATAATTCAAATTATTTGGGTTAAAAATTTTATTTGTGGGAAAACTAACTTTCAGATTAGTTGAAATCATTGCAAGCATTTTTTTTTAATCATTTTGCCTCAAGCAAGCCACTAAGATGCAAGAGGTAAATGAGTGTGAAAAATATGAGAAAAAAAGTGTTGTTAATCACAAAAATATTAAATTATCTCCACCCCAGCACTCATGGATGTGTAGTGCCAATGGATTCCTATTTGAAGAAATATGTTCTTTGGTCACATAAAATGACTGGAACCAATTAGCTTTATCAGATTCAAATATTTACCTTTAGCTGTAATACTCAACTTGTTGGTAAAGAAAATAATTCAAGATCAACCAATAGGAGATAGAATTGTAGAAAACAAAATTTGCACAAAAATAGAGGAACTTCCTTGCATTATATTGGCAAAATGAGAACTTAACAGATGTTTAAAAACTTTCCAAGCATTTTATACTTTACTTTTTCCAGCAGAGATATTTATTTTACTTGTTTCTACTTTGTTACACAACTAGAGACTTTTTCACCAATATTTAGTTTCACTTGTTTTTAAATGGTGGCATACATGATATTATGGAGTACTTTCAGTTACAAGATGCAGTTTGATGGTTGAAAGCATGGATTGTTGTTTCATTCCAGTTTTGTAAGTGATTGCTTGAAAGCTATAAAATGAGGATTTATATTTTCAACTTTGTTTCAGCTTTTGATTAATTTTTTTTTTTTGACGATGAAGTTGGGTCCCGTTGTGTCTTTTTTGCAAGTACAGTTCCCTTAATTTAAATATGAATCTTTAATAGTTCTTTCAATGTTCTCTTCTGTTTGTAGTCAAAGTTCTGCCTTTTGTCATCCAATTCTTTTGTAAATTGTTTTAGAAAGACAAAGTCCAAAATTTACAAGTCTAAAATTTGCAGATGTCAGCTGAAACTCAAAATCAACTACCAGGTCACATCTTCCAAAGTTCTGCTTTTGTCATCCAATCCTTTTGTAAATTGTTTCAGAAAGACAAAGTCCAAAACTTGCAAACATCAGATGAACCTCAAAATCCGCTACCAGGTCACATGTTCCAAAGAACTATTGTCCATCTCCCCCCCCACAAAAAAAACAAGATCTTATATACACTCAAGACACTCCCAATTAGTTAAAAAATGAAAGAAGAAAGCTAGAAAACTGACAGGCTCTTTATTAGAGGGAGCTAGAAAGGAAATCTAGGTTTCCTAGTCCCAGGTTTTGGCAGATACAATACATGACATATGGGTGGTTTGTTTGGTAAGGTAAGCCATTGTTTTTTCTTCTTCCATAAATCGTTGATACTGACTTGCACTTGTGTTTAAAGCTACACGTTTCCTTCTGTTAGTTTGACCAATAAAGCTGTTAACATTTACCAAGTTGAGAAATAATGGAACTATAATATTTTCATGTTTTTGAGTCTGAAAGGTGAGTTTCTTATTAACATGTTTGAACTTTTTACTCTGACAAGTAATTGAATGACAAAATGGATAAAGCTTAATGTAATAAATTTTGTCCTTCCAAAGGATTCATCAGACAAAAAAAAAATGTTCTTAATAATAGAATTATATATACATATGCAGGAGGATGGGTAAAATTATAAACAAAAATGTTGTTGTCATGATTATACATTGAGAGGAATCGCTGAAGATTTACAAACACTAAACTTTAATTTTTAAACTAGTGGTGTCTAAGGGGTTGTTTTTAAATACCCCACATTGTGATAGCAATAGATTTGTTAAGAAAGGTGAGGCGTTAACTGGGATGTAAATTTACCATGGAAGACTCAGAAATCAGTGCACATTCTATGCATTTTTGTCTTAGTGAATTATTTTCTCAAATTTAAAGTAACATTCTTTAAATCAAAATTATATTCAAATTCATTCCAATAAATGACTGATACAATGAGTATATTATTTCACAAAAGATCAATTTTGTATTTATATATTCTTTTATTTAGATTCTTTGATGTTTCATCTATGTATTTCCTATGACATATATAGTATCTCAATTTAGACTGACCTATATCTGTTAAACATACTATAAAGTATCTCGATTAGACTTATCAATTTCAAACTGTCAAAGAGATTCATCTCCAGCTTCATCACATTTTTGTTAACTGTTTTCAGGCAGTTATGAAAGTGTTCTGCTGAGTAAATTTCTATGGGGTATCTTTGCTAAGACCCTATTCAGTGGTTAGCATTTCCTCATTTTGATTTTACACACTCTATTTTAGCTAAAATATTTTCTTGTATTTTTCAGGTTCATATTGCATAGGGTACCTGTTTGTCTGTCAGCAGGTGGGAGACATATCTGAAGAGATAACAAGATAACATAAGGCATAGCTCACAGATAATAATAATAATAATGTCATAGCACACAGACCAGATAATAATAAAGCATAACCTACAGTTAAGAAGGAGGAGGAAGAGGCAGCGGCAATGGTGGCATAGTCCACAGACTAAATAATATGCATCAGTCTTACCAATTGAAAAAAAAAAAAAGACTCAAAGAAGCTTGTAGAATGGACTAATTGGAATGTTTCAGTGTTGATGATGATAGTGATAAGTAAATAAAAACATTCAAAAATTCCTCTCCAACTATGACAGACAAACTTACTTTTTGATAAGTAATCATCAGCTGAACAACAGGTAAACCATAGAATATAACAATTGTCCATAAATTCCTGAAGATAAAGAAAACTAATCTTAACGCAGTGCAATTTAAAAACAATCATCATTTAAAAGCACATTTGTCATGATCTTTTCCCAGTTACTGAGTAAAAGACCTTAAGGCAACATTATAATATCTATAAATGCTATTATTAAATAAATAAATTCAAACAATTGACACTTTTGTTACAATAGATAATTATGGAATAAAATGGAATGGATAAGTTTTATAAGGTAAAAGCCTCTTTTTTGATCTTGACACTAAATTTCTTTTTAATCATTTCACCCTAAACAAATCAAAATGTACTATTTTTCTCTTAATTCAGACTTTGGATTTGAATTTCAGTATATTAAAATTTCAAATAAAACAAAATGTGAATGGTTTCCAAAATATTTTACTAAAAGTAAAAGTAATTTTTCAGAATAGCTCAATTGTGCTTACATGTTAACATAAATACAGAATATTTACTTTAGATCAGTGTTTCTCAACCTTTTTAAGCAATGGCACACCTAGGAGCAAATAAAATATCATGGCATACTTACAAAATTTTTAAAGTGTATACATTTAAATTTTATAAAACTCTGACAATATTAATTCATAATTCAATATAACTTTGTAAAAATTTTGAATTAAACAAAAAATGTTGAAAAAAGGTTGATATTCATTTATTCAAATAAAAGGAAAATTTAAAAAAGTTAAATTAAAAAATAAAAATACTTTAAAAAATGAATATTAAAAGTATTCAAAATAACATAATTGAAGAATAGTGAAAAGAATTATTTGAAAAAAAAAGTTTTAATACTCATTTATTTAAATAATGCTGTACAATTACAACTGCCACACACACACACATATATATGTATGCTGTAACATTATTTTGCAGCACATTTAAGAGGACTGCGCAGTACACTAAATTGCCGCAGTATGGCGGTTATGATAGATAAATAAAAAAAATAATAATGGAATAAAACCTCACCAGTTATACACTTTTCCATACTTGGCTAGTTTTTTCCTTCCTTTCCTTGACAAGTCTGATACAAATAATGCAGTCTGGAGTGATAAAAAAATTAAAAAACTTTTAATAATTTAAAAATAAAAAATATATCACAATAAAAATGTGGCACAAGGCCAAGGGGGGATGGGGGAAGGCTGGTCTTCAATTTGTCATATCTTAAACTTAGCTAGTCACAATTGCTGATCCAAACCTACCACAGTATTTCTTACACCAAAACAACACATACTTACCATTCTTGTTTACCATTCTTACTACAGCTACCATAATACCTCAAAGTCTCTATGTAGTCCTAACTAGTTCCCATATATACAATTTGTCTGGGTGGCTCAATAAACAACATTTAAAAATGAAACACCAATGAATATTTACAATGAATACACTTTATATACAAGAAACTAAACAAAATAGTGTTAGTAATAAAAAAAACCCCAGAATCTTTAATTATGACAGAAAAAGGAGTTAATTGGATGAAGTTAATGCAGGACTAGGTAATTAATAACAATTCACTCACTCAAAAATACACTCATCCAAACACAAAAATAAATACGAAATACACACTTGAAAAACAAAAAAGTTATTGTGAAAATATTTATAGAAAATGCACAGGGAAGCAATGTTCCAGTGATGGGAAAGTAAATAGCAGAATAGACAGAAAATTATAGATATAATAATCTTTTGATAATTATCTCTAAAGTTTGTCATATCAATAATGAATAATATGTGATAGGTCAGCAATGATAAGATTTTAATCTTGTAAACAATGAAGTATTAGTTATTACTTGAAAAATAATTAAAATGCTTAATCTCAGAATTCAAAACTCTTACTATGTACATTATTTACATTGTTTGGACTAATTGTCCTCATCTTTATTGTCATATTTACAACATTTCAGCTGTTGTACATTCCAGCCTTCTCCCTTTTTAGTCCACTGGGGTAGATTGTTCTAGTTCCACGGGCCATGCCTTTTTTGGATATCTCAGTTTCAGTTAATTCCTTCAGTAACTCAACTCTCCAAGTTTTTGTTCACTTCTACTGTGGGTAAGTATTGAACTCACAACTCTTTGGGTCAAATCACTGGATTACTTCAACCAATGCTTTTATCCACTGGGTCATGTGTCTTGGGGGAATTCATTTTTGGTACTTATAAACCTAATGTTTCAGTAATCATTTTCATCAGAAGTCATATTACAATTTTTTGTTATTATTGTTTTTCTCTACCACTCTGTATTATTGGTTCCTATGTACTCATGTCTATGTTTGGCCATTCTAAGAGATTTTTGTGGCCTAGCATATGTGCTGGTTCTTTAAGTTTTGTATTTTCTATGTATTTTAGACATAAGGCCAGAAAAGAAAACAAAGATTTGTGCAACATCTAACCATAGGCTTCCATGACCAAATTGTTTAAGGAATAGGTTCTCAAACTAAGTACATATACTCCATGGTTACTGAGAAATTCCAGGGGTATATGATCAAGTCTCTTGCAATCTTGGCAACCTTTTATGATTAGAGGTTTTGCAAACCTGTCCTTCCTCAGCTTGAGAGAAAGAAAAAGACATTTTGCTTTCTGTATTTCCCGTTGCCTCATTCCTCCAACACCAAGCCATGAATGTTTACCATATTTGATATTGGGTACTATACCCTGGACTATCTTCTCAAATGATATCCCATTCAGGCAGGACAAGATAGACCACAGCAAAAAAACTTTTGAAAATGATATTCTCATGGAAAATAAGATTTCAGGATATAGGATGTGAGAAACATTCATCAGAAGTTATGTATCTTTATTCATGTTTAACATGGCTTTAATAGTTACTGGATATTTTATTAAAAATATGTTGCAAGATTAACAAAGATTATCCAAAAATTAATAATAAAGTCAGAGACATATATAAGTTGTATACAGCTGACATTTTAGATATTTCTGAACAGGTTTGGCGCCATGCATGGCATTCATATGAAAGTCTCCATCTAACGAGCCTATTTAAGATCATGATTCGGGTTTTCATGTTGCTGTTTTGGCATCTATGTTCCACCCATTTATTGTTGAAATAACTAAATGCAACCACCACTTCTACTTCAACAGTTTCTTTTCTTGCACTTCCTGCCTGTGGAACTCCCTTCCATTTACTTGCTCCCCTGATAACTACAATCTTCAAAAATTTAAGTGCAACTTCAATCGCCATCTTCTGTCTTCTTGAATCTCATTCATTTTTTGTCATTTGCACAAGACTCCCTATATTCTGTCTTTCTCTCACTTTCACTCCCTGTAATCCCCTGTGTACTAGCAGCATTCCCACCTTACTTGGAGTGAAATGATTAAAAAAAAAAAAAAGAAAAAAAAAAGATAAATCTATGCCTTTTCCAAGGGCATTAGTGTGAAGTGAATGAAACAGAATCAATTAGGAATTGAATTTGGCACACCAAATTCTATTTCTCCTATGCTGATAACCATTACAGTATCTGTGCCTCACACACATACACACACATAAAAAAAACAAAAAACAAAAAACAAAAAAAAAACCTTTGTTCTGAAAACATCTTTCTCTTCTTCAGCATCATGCAGGAAATCAATGTCTTGAGTATCCAGGGAAGAATTTACTGATGAAGAATCATCCGTGGTCGCACTTGGAGAGACAGCATTTAGGAGGGGAGATGTTGGATCTGTTTAAAGACAAAACAAAATTAACATTATAAAACCACATGCAAAGTCGAATCAAATTTATTTCAAAGTTATATTTAGTTGGCCTTAATGATTCCTTAAATTCTGGCTATTGTGACTTAACTGGTAAATAAATACATTTTTTTGTCTATGAGCAGAACTTCAGAGATGTCTTTAACATCTGATGTCTACTGCAGTCAATTTTTATCCTTGAGTAGCACAAGCACATGGTTTACCTGGATTTCTAAATATGTAAAATAAATACAAACACATGAGTTCACTATATTCTGTATCAATTGCTTTAAAAAGAGGCTGACAGTCTTCAGTTGGTCCAGAAATGTTGATTCTATCAGAATTGTTGCTCCCAAGAAATTAAGAAAATATTTCTATTTAACTTTTATGAAAATTCACAATAACAAACATAGATCAAGAGAGGTCCTAAAATGAAATTCTTTATAACTGGTTGATTTGTTTTTATGACTTATCAACCCTTTGTAGGTTATTTCTTATGGTGGGAAATCACGATGGTACTCCCATCATGATTTTCTCACCTGTTTTGAACATGGAAATTTTACTCTTCATTCTTTTACATTTGGATATATATATATATATATATATATATATATATATATAAGCTCAAGCAAAGGTAGGGAGACATTGGGAAGAAACAAAAAATATTAATGAATTAAAAAAAAAAAAAAAACATTACACCAGTCTTGAAATGGTCAAATTAAATCACTTTTTTTTAATTCATTAATATGTTTTGTTTTAATTTGTTAATGAAAATTTTATCTAGTCTAAATTCCAAAATGTAACCAAAAATATAATGTGTTATGTTTCATGAGTTACAAAGCAACAATAAAAAGTCAGTAATATTTTTCAAAAATCTTGTTCGACTAAGATTCTGTGAATCCAATTTCTATAAAAGAAACTTTATTCTTGGGAAGATTTTTCAGAGTTTTAATTTTTCTGATGCTAGATATTGATCATCATGCAAAAAATATAATTTTGGATGAAAAAAAATGGCATGCACAAATATTGAATTAAAAATAGTCTAGAAATATACTTTAAGTAGCCAAAAGTATTTTTTCTTATTCAGATATATTTTATGGCTAAGCCAAATATGAAACACATGTCTGGTCTATATGCTTAGATATGAATAAAATTTTGTGCATTGTTATTGTTAACAACCCTGTAGAGTATAGTACAATTGGTTTGCATGCTAAGAATTGACCTTGCCATGCCAATGCTATTAGAGGGACTATATATATATATATATATATATATATATATATATGTGTGTGTGTGTGTGTGTGTGTGTGTGTGTGTGTGTGTGTGTGTGTGTGTACACACACACACACACACACACACACACACAGGGGTGTCATCAGAAATACTTTTACAAACTTTGGGGCAGGTTCTTAACACCAAAACAAAAGACAAAAAATCCATATAAATATATGTCCGCAAATCCTTCATTTTTGAGTTAAATTTAAAGAAAGTTTACAGAAGCTGGTGCTGTGTTGCTATGTAGATTACATTTGTCATTTTTGTAAATTTGTTGATAGCCTGTCTTCAACATTTAACTTGTATAGTAGTGAGTTAACTGAGAAGTGTTGCATTTAACAATGGCAGGATATTCGAAGTTTGTGAAAGTATTTTGGGATTGTACATTTAACAGCATCTACTGTAAACTTTAAACTTAACTCAAAAAGGAAGGATTTACAGACATATATTTATATGGACTTTTGTCCTTGTTTTGATGTGAGGAACCTGCCCCCAAAGTTTGTAAAAGTATTTTTGGATTGTATCTTGGATTGTACATTTAACAGTGTCTACCGTAAACTATAAACTATAAACTTGATAACTCAAAATGGAAGGGTTTTCAGACATGTGTTTATATATATATTTTTTAAAATCATTTCACTCCATTCTAAGCAAGGCATAAATGCCACTGATAAGCATGGGGTTACAGAAAGTGAAAATGAGAGAAAAGACTGGGTATAGGGAGGATTGAGGAAAGCATAAAAGATGAACAGGATTCAAGAAGATAAAAGATGGCAATTGATGTTGCATTTCAATTTTTAAAGATTAGTTTTCAGCAAATAAACAGAAAGAAGTGCGAGAAAAGAAACTGCTGAAGTAGAAGTGGCAGTTACATTTAGCTATTTTGACAGTAAAAGGGTGGGACCTAAATGCCAATCTAGTAGCATGCTTAAATTGGGACACTAGGGAAAAAAGCTTGTCAGAGCAGTTGCAATGAAAATATTTGTAAAAAAGACAGAAGGAAGCCCCATCTATGAAAAAGTGACTGAAGTCAATATGCCAAGTCAGGATTGATTACGTTGCAAATCCTTCTTTGGATTTTGTCAAGAACCTCAAGAAGAATAGCAGGAGCACCAGACCAGATATGGCAAAAGTATTCAATGCACAGATGATTAGTAGATTTGTAAAATGTGCAATATGGACTCTGATGAGAAAAACCTTCTAGCACAACACAGTAACCTAACATTCTTTGCAGTAGATGCAGCTATTGATTCAATGTAGTCATTCCACTTCAAGTGAGTTGAAAACGTGAGGCCAGTAAAGCACAGTGTGTCACTCTCCAGGAGTCTAGCATCAGCCATGCTGGTAGCGGGCAGGAAAGTTTCTCTATAGTGGTTGAATGAGAGTAGTTTTGTTTTGGAGGCATTAAAATTTACAACCATTTCCTGCTCCAGTTAACCATTTATTGAAGGTCCTTTTCAAAAGCAGCAGCCAGGTTAACTTTATCAGCTCTGACAGATTTGCTATTGAGACAGGAGTAAATGGTAGTATCATCTGCATAAATGCCTACTTGGGAACTGATGACATCAGGAAAATCATTGATGAAAATCAGAAACAGTGTAGGACCAAGGATAGAGCCTTGGTGAATACCTGCATTTATGTGAAAAGATCTGGAAGTGAGCTTCATTTCATGATTTGACAGGAATGATTGAATTAAACAATCATTCTGTAATACCCTAGCCCTGGAGTTTATGTAGAAGACCAGTATGCAAAACCCTGTCAAATGCCTTTGACATATCTAGAACCACAGCTTAAGCTTTGGTGTTATTATCAAGAGCTTGATGTACATATTCAGTGATGGCTGTAAGCACATCATTGGTAGACCTGGCAAAATGGAAGCCATATTGTTAGAGAGTAGTTCGTGACAGGTAAGATGCTTAACCACTTCAGCATTGATTAAAGCCTCGAATAGTTTGCTGAAGAGCAGTAAGAGACTAATAGAGCAATAGAGGGATCAGAAGGTTCTCCAGAGTTCTTAAAAACAGGAACTATAGAAGAGGACTTTCAACAAGCTGGAAAACAGGAAGCAATGAAGCAATAGTTGTATAGTTTGGAAAAAACTGGAGCCAGTTTGAGAACACATTTGTTTAGAATAACAACTGTAATTCCATCATCTCCACTTGCCTTGTGGAAGTCTAATTTAGAAATGATACTCAGGGACAGGGTTATGTGCATATCACTCTGTAGATCCTCTGTGGGGAAATCAGGTGTGGGTACACGAAATGAGTCAAGTGTTGAGTTGGATGAGAATTTCCAAGCAATGCATTCAACCATATCTGCTATAGATATCAGGACTTTGAATTGATTGAATAGACAAGGGATTGTGGATTTGCTGTTGTTCAGCACACTCTTGAAGAGCCGCAAATAAACTATACAGATGCTATACTTTGTTTCATTCTATCAACAAACAGTAACTACACTTCTTTGAGAACACACTTGCACTCATTACAAGCAGAAACAAAGAGATGCCTGTTACAAATCAGGCATGTTGCTCTGGTACAGCTGGAAGGAGTGATTCCTGTAGGCTATAGTGGCCAAGTATGCAGGTGAGAATCAAGATGAACACCATTTAACTTGGTATTTCCTTGCTGCAATGAAAGAATCAATGTCAGTTCTCATCCAGGAGGAGACCTCAGATGCGCATTTTTGAACAGGATGATTAAAAACTTCATTCCAAGGGACATCACAAAGGAAATCACGGAACAAGTCCCAATCTGATATTCTGTTGGTAGGAAGTTCTTGGTAAGTGGGGGAGCAGAAAGAGATATTTACAAACACTAACCACCCCAAAGTTTGTAAAAGGATTTTTGACACACCCTATATATATATATATATATATATATATATATATACACACTGGCGAAAATGAGTTTAAGACTGATGGTTAAAGCTTTATTCATTTCAGAATATCATTCTAATAAAATAATATAAATTAGTTTTATTGTGTATACAGAATTTATTTCTCTGAATGATGTAAAAATTGTATATTTTTCTATAACATGAAAAATTTTAATACTGGATTAATTTAAATTATCCAGATTTGCCAGCAAAATAAGTTTAAGACACATGCATATATATAAGTTATGAAAAACTTGGTAATCCGTATGGGTAGTCCCAAGAAGGATGAAATCCTGAGAGCTCAATGTAAATCTAGAGCTAATAATTTAAAAGAAAACAGGCCATTTTAAGGTTCCATTATAATAATTTATTTCACCAGAGCCCTTTTAAGGATGTTAGATCATCAGATAACACTTCCAAAAAATGAAACGAAAGATCTTTTCATTTTTTGGAAGTGTTATTCGATGATCCAGCATCCCTTAAAAGGGCTCTGGTCTGTTTTTTCAATTATATATATATATATATATATATATATATATATATATATATATATATATGTGTGTGTGTGTGTGTGTGTGTGTGTGTGTATGTAGTTAATGCCTTTTAATCTGACAGGACATTTATTACTCTATCTTTCTTTTTTTTTTATAGAAGATACAGATATCAAAAGTACCAATAAAAAGTAAAGCACCAATGCACTTCATAAATGATTGATTTGTTTTTTTACAGCTTATCAATTCTTTGTGGTTTATTTAAAGCCAAAATATATTTTGGAATGTAAGAATAATTCTTATTCTGCAAGTGAATAATGTATTAACAATTTTTGGGAGAATAACAA